GGGAAGATAACAGTTCATCTGGGAAATGGGGAAGAGGAGAGACTCAGCTGAGCTTAGTTGAATCGTCAAGTCGGTTTCGTTTGTTGAAACTGGCTGTTTCTTTTAAGGCAGCCGTTTAGGATGGAGATGTAAAGAGGAAGTCACCTCGGCGGTCATTCCTCAATAGAGGCTACAGCAGCAGAGCAGGGACAGGCAAGCAAGGACGACCAGCTTCCTCCCTGCTCCTTCTTTCGTGTCTTCTGGGAGTTATCTGCCAAGCCAATCCTCTGCGTGCCAAATAAAGGAGCTGTTCTCCGAGGGTGAAAACCCTCTCCATGTACGATAAATAGAAGAAGAAGAAGAAGAGGTAGAGGTTACACTAGGCTGCAAGCTAAAGGATTAAGCAGCCCACTTCTGCTTCGAAGAAATGTCGGAGTCCCTTTATTTATTATGACCAACCAAAATGTCATAAAACAGCAAAGGAGCTTTTGAGTCCTCCGAAACGCTTTCATCAGCCTGTTTGTAAAGTAAGGCAGAGAGGTTTGATACTGACCATAACGTCTTTATTGGTCAAGGTTCAGCTTTGTTGTCTTGCCTTAGGAGGGGCACATGGCTTTTGTTGCGGAGAGCACTTTTCTGGGGAGCGGGGCAGAACCGAAGTGATTGGTCAGTTAGTTTTACTGGATAGGGGGGCAGCTGCTCCCCTGCCCTCCCTTGGCTATGCCTATGAAGGGGCATGAAGATGGGGTTGCCATGAAGATCGCCTGCACTTCAGTATTCAGCGCTACATCACTGGCGACGCACACTTACTTGGGACCAAACCTCACTGAATACTGACTGTGCTTCCAAGTAAACACTCACAGGATTGCGCTTTAAATAGCTAATGTCTCAGTTTCTATCAGCATTAGCCTAAACACTTCGGCTTCATTGTTTTTTGGATCGAGCTCTCTCTGGCGACAAACACCTGAGCTTTAGCGGTGGGAGCAGTAGGGCAATTTTAGACTTTGGTCTTATATGGTCCCGTCTCTGAATGCTAATAACGTGCGTTTTGATATCAGCCCCCTACTGATTTTGCTGAGTGGGACTGCGGACCTCTGCCCCAAAGCCCTGCCGTTACCGTTGACAATGCGACTGGAGGAATTCAGTTTTGTACTGGAGAGAATCTTGCAACACTTAAAAATCTTCGGGAATCCCGCAACTAATGTCAAATGATACAATGCAAAGTAGCCCGTCTGGCGGATTTTGGTGCATAGATCCATTGGCTCAAAGAACAAACATGCTTTGTATTTCCTGATCGTCAGCAGACATATTAGCATCAAAACACACTCACAAACAAAGATTTAGCATTTTGCTAACTCTGTTGGCCGTTCTTATGATGTACTTATAGCTGCCAGGATGACAACAAAGTTGAAACTGCTGATGCCTTGGTTGAATGTCACGCCGAGGGATGGACTTGGCAACGTTTCTGTGTATTTCTATATATTTTTCTAACCCAGTTAAGACAGCATTTCTATGTATAAAGACGTATACGTGGGAATGGAATTTGTAGCCCTCTGGAAAAGGCTTTGAGATAAGTAGTAGCGGAGAGCAGTAGCAAATAAATCTACATTCTGTTCCTTGGGAAATGCAACAATGGATTCGTGTCTTCCTCAAAATGCAGCTGGGCTCTGCTTGATTATTAAAGAAAAAACAACACGATTTGCTTGTACAAAGAGGTTAAAAGGTTTATGAGACAGCCTTTACTGAAGCCCAGGCGATAGTTATTCAGACAAAAGGTGCATGTAGAAATAACTCTGAACCTGCTGATAAACTGGTACCACAATGTGATGGGGAGAATAAAGAAAAAGATACTCAAAGAGACAGTGAACCCCGCAGAGCCAATTAAACACTAGCTTGTCAGTTAACAGATGTTTAATATAAAGCGATGTTTGATTTCTCTCTCTAGTGCTTCCCTCATTTCGCAACGTCGGGGCGCGATCTAAACCACAGTGAGTCGATGGAAGGTCTCCCATTCATGTTGTTCAGGAATTTTATGATAGCTACAGTATATCTTTTCCTTTTAAAAGATGGGAGTGTGGCTCTTAATTTCTATATCTTTGTGACATCACTTCTTCAAGATACGGTGTTTACAACGTAGTCTTGCCTGCACCCCCCGCGCCCTGTGCATTCCCATTGCATGCAGTTCCCTCATTAGCAGAAAAAGTGGACGGGGCACCAAGTGCTCATGGCTCTGCATCAGCTTGTATAATTAGCAGGCGCGGCGCAGCAGGCGAGAAAGCAGGTACCGAGCGGCGGGTCTTGAAAAGCCGGCGAACAATGGCTGGCTCATCTGCTCGAAAGAACGGACGCCTCTTTGAATGTGGGGATGGCTCAATCCATAAACCTGTTAAAGCCAAGTCTTAGCTTTAACAAAAAAGAAAAAAAAACCCAAAACAAAACAAAAACACACCGCTGTGTAATTCGGAACCCAATTGATTTCTGTAAATATTCTTGCAGCACAATGTACTCTGGAGGGAATCCCATTGCTGCCCAAAAGGCGTTGCTTCTCGAGGAGCATGTTCTTTCGGACTGTGAGCGTAAGGGGGTTTGCACTTCTGCACGAATTTGCATGGCGCTGGATGGCAGTCAGACGCATGCATGCATTTCCCGCTCCGATTCCGAGCTTGTCTCGCAGTGTCTCCAGCGCAGCGACCCTGGGAGCAGGTGCAGCGGAAAGGCTGACTGACGAGTCCCTTTTTCCTTCGCCTCCTGCACAAGATAAAGAGCAGTTCACATCAGCAAGAAACCCTTTTTAAACAGCCTTGGAAAGAAGGCTCTGTCGGGACCACCAGAGAAAAGGTGCAGCTTTAGTTTTCCCCCACACCTCCATAGGGCAGATCGCGTTTGTCCTCTATTTACCTGCCTGGGGTCAAGGCTCCAGTCTCCGGAAGAGGAAAGCAAGAATATGAATATCTCGTGCGCCACCCGCAGGCAGAGCTGGAGAATGACAGGAGGGAGGCGCGGCCACGGATTCCACGGGGCTCTTCTCTGTGCTTTCTGGGAGCCACGCGGAATTCACAGTGGAATGAATGGAGCGACTGCCGCAAGCCTAGGCGAGCATTTTAGGAGCCTCGGAAGAGGCAGCCCTTATCCCGGCCTTGAGGACTGAAAGTGAATTTGTGCTAGAACCACCACATGAGTGACCTTTGGCTATTCTTTTTTTTAAAAAAATATTTTTTATTGAGTTTCTTTTCTTAGAGTCATAGGCACAAAATTAGGGAAAGAAAATACAAGAAACAAATACAAAACTGAACTAATAAAAAGGTCAATACAATCCAATTTTCAGTCGTTTTTTCAGTATTCCGAATGGGACCTTTGGCTATTCTTAACCGCAGTCACCTTAATTAAACTTTGCGGATATCCCACCAACTGTCCCCCGCCTAGGGTTGGGGAACACTGCCCTACAGGATGACTTGTGGCACATTTTTAGCTTAGAACTGAAACCTTGGGAGGATTCTGCAAACAGAATTATTCTTCTTCTCTGATGCAACCTGTGGCGTTGTTGGTTTCGGCGGCTTTTGCACATGGACTGCTGCTTTCGTTACTGCTAGTAATTTAGGAGAGACGAGTTTCCCGAGGACAATGTCAAGGAGGAAAACAGGATCTCCGAGGAACCGTCTGGAGTACTCATTTTGTTTTGACCCGAACCCTGTTCGAGGGGTTCTGAAATGGCCGTGTTGAAGTTAAGGGCATTATGTTATGACCTCTCTTTGGTGAAAGAGACTTCGGCCATCCGTTTACACAGAGCACGGTGTCGATCACTATTTAAAGAATAATTATTATTTTAAAAGCAGCCGAAGTGAAGCAGTGGTCCACGCTCTACAGACAACCAGGAGTGTGAGCGCTAAGGTGTTTCGGTCCCCTTAAAGAATAAGCGGTTAGGTTGTCTACGAAAGCGACAGCCCTATTATCTGATTTCTTCTACTACTACTCCCAACATCCCACTACTTTTGTGGTAGTTGGTCAACCTCTCAGTGGGTCAGGAGGTGGGTCCGAGCAATGCCATTCATAATCAAGAACCTATTTTCATATTGATTAAATGTGTAACATTGAAGGAGATCCGTGCCCGGGATAAATAGCGTGAGATCCCATCTACCCTCAGTCTAGACTTCCTGCTGAAGGGACTTCCGAGGGTGGACGCGGCTGAGGGAATTTTCCCTCACAGGAGAAAAGGCGGGAAAGTTACGTTCAAGTTATGTACAGCATAGACCCATTAAAATAAATAACTTCATTGGTTTCACTGGGTCTAACTGATTATTTCTTAGAAATCTAAAGGGGGATATAATATATCCAATTAACAGGAGCTGCACGGTTTGCTAGCAAACCGTCCCGCCCAAAGGCAAGTTGTATAGATGGGGAGGTCTTGAATCGGAAGGATTTGTGAAAGGGGCAAATGGATGGATTTGCCGAAGCGACAGCAGCGGGCGTTTGAGTGAAGGGACCAAACGTTTGCACTTAAAAGCACCAAGGCAATAATACTGTATAGCTCGGCTGCCTTTTGCCTCCGTAGCCTCCCTTCGCAAGGGCTTGTGGGAAGATGGCGGGGGCGGTGTGGGGGAAGAGGAGAGCGAGAGTACAAAACTCTTTTTCAGGGCGTCTTTAGCGAGGTCCCCTCGGCCGATTTCAGGGAGGCTTATGTTACTTTGTGGGGGATCACCCCCACCTCTAAAATGGCAACTGAACCCTGAGTAACATGTGGGCCGGCCAGACCCTTTCGCAACGTGGCGGCCTTCAGCTGAATCTAAACCCTAATGTCATGGAGCTAATTTTCCTGAGGAAAAGACCACCTAACTCGCCGAGAAACCCGCTCGGGGAACTGCACAGGCAGGGCAGGGAGGCCCAGCTCCCCCTAATATGACCCAGCCAATGTTACGCTGCTTCTCTCTGCTGCAGAGGAAAAAGGCCAACTTGCACCTCCCGCTAGTGCTTCAGATGAACTGTATTCATGTGCGTTAACTGAGGCTTCTCGGTTCCTTTTCTAGGTCTGGGAGACGCCTGGGGCCAGCCGAGCAGATTAGGCCCCTTGGATAATGTCGCGAAGGAGCTGGGCTCGCATTTGCTTCAGGTAGAGTCTCTGCGATTCGTGCTGCTTCTTCAATACTGTTTGTGTTATTTCAGGAGTTCGTTGCGTTAAAACACACTAGATCTCGCCCCCAAACCCAAGGCTCGGTCCCCTGGAGAGAGCCGCCTTTTTTTGTTTCAAAGGAGAAAGGGATGGTCCATAAGTCTAGTAACCGTGGCTTGTGAACAAACCTGTCGCAGAGAAAATGGGCACATGCTGGCCAGCTCCCTCTTCTTAGGGGTAGATTGGGACTTCCAGTCCGGGTTTATTATGGTTTGGGAGTACAGAATTAGGGAGTGGCAATGAATGGGTTAATGCAAAATAAAGGAATGTGATGATCTTGTGTTTGCAGGACAACCATAAATCAAGTGGCATAAATGGGCAAGAAACCCTAGTGGCTTGTAATTTATAATATATGCTTGCATATACACACATTTCAGTCAAACTATATGTGCTGCAATAGGCTCTTTTTAAACAGCTGCATATCTATATCTATACACAAACATGCATTTTTAATGGAGATTTCAGTCCACTCATTGCTCAGTAGGGAAAACCTTTAAAAGAACGCATGGCTCCTGTGGTGGGAGGAGAACATCTGGATTAGATCTTCCATTGACGTTAGCACCTGAAAATACAGTTGTTCAAAATCTGGTTGATCCACTTTGGAATTCTGCTTCTCTCTATTGTGTAAGTCCCAATGCTGCAAAGGGTATCATGCGTGTGCTCACCTCACAAAAGGTTTTTTTGCTAGTAAATTCCTCCCGATTTTACAGGTATAATAAAGAGAAATGCAGCCTTGAGTAGGTGAAACCGGAAAAATAAAACAATAAACTGTTTTTCAAAACTACTATAATTCATCTTACACTCACTATTGTAACCTTTATGCATGTTGGTAAAGGTAGCCCTGAAAATAGGACGTAAGGGTTGAGAACTTTGTTTTAGTTATGCTTTATGCCACTGTTCTAACCATGTCTACTCAGAAGTAATTCCCATTTAATTCAATGGGGTTTACTCCTAGGTAAGGTGTTAGTGTTGCACGCTTGGTTCTTAAACTTTTCAACCACATTTTACTAGCAGATGACATTTGCAGGGCCTTCTGAAACTTGAATAAGCAGACACTATGATAAAGGTTTCCATATCTTAATCATTATTTTCACTAATTTCCATTGGATAGTGGGGTGTATATAATTGTAATACATTAACAAATGCTTTGGCGTTGATGTAGAATGAGGTGTATAATGAACTTTTTGCTGGAATGTAACCTGTTTTGAAAGTAACTTTAATGAAAACAGAAATTCACATCCTTAAAGTATACTTTATTTGTCATAATGTTGTTGCATAGAAAGTCAACTTCATGAAAAATAGTGTATACTTTAAGAAAAAAAACTTTTAGAACATATTTGTCAACAAAAGTCAAACATATGTTTAAACAAAATGTGATATAAATTAATCTTTCAAAAATATAGTTTGGCACACAGTAAGAAGCTTAGTGACATCTATTTATTTGCTAGCTATTTAAAAATGTGTATCTTACCTCTTATGCTTGAGATGGTTTGCAATATTTAATATTTATAACATACCTGCAGCTTCTTAATTTACTATTTTCAAATTGTGTTTAACACAAAATAATGATGTAATACTATTTAAAATGTCCAGTTATTTATGAATTATAAATGTTGTTTTAAGAAATGCAGCTACTTTACTGAAAATATGTGTGCTTTCACCTTTGAGCAAAGAAGGGAGGGGAGTGCCATGTATTTAAAGAGCCACTAAAAGTAAGGTTTTCTAATGGAAGTGCCAATGCAGCCTAACTATAACATCGGGGAACAAATTGCTAGTTTATGAGGAATGTTTTAAAGCAATGTTTTATTTAAGAAAGCAGTGATTTCTTCCCCATGTTAATACTGCTGCAAAGTTTTGTTTATGTTCAGAAGAAGGGGGGCGGGAATGAAACCAAAGAGTAATCTGGTTCTAATTACATGCTGTAAAAGTAGAGTAGGTCAGAGAATAATTTGGAATATTTTTTATTGGGGTAACATTGAACTTGCCCCTCTATTGCAGACTTTATTACTTTCCTTTTGTTCCAGCATCTTAAAATATGAACTAGTAAATATAAAAGGCAATTGTTTTATCTATGTACAGTATTTAGAAATACATTTCCCTTTCCAAATGTAGACCTCTTTCCCTCCATATGGAGAATTCTTATAGTCTAATCACACTTGCGTAGAGGTGGGTTTTGTTTTAATGAACATTTGGTCCTCTGATAAGCAGTAACTTCTAAGGTCTTAGACAGAGAGAGGTCTTTCTCAGCCTGCCTACCTGAGATACTTTAACTGGCAATTTAACTTGAGACCTTTGATGCTCTGCTGTTGAGCTGTGGCACCTCTCTCAAATCATTGCTCCATTCTGATTGGCAGGCTTTTTTGAACTTTACCTGCTTTGCTACCTGAGATTCTTCAAAAGGCAATGCCAGGGATTAAATCTGGGACCTGCTGCATATGAAATGGTATTCTAGTCTAGTGCATTAAGGTTCTTCCCTGAAATCAGCAGAGCTTGTTTCCAAATACATGTTTCTGGGACTGAGATGCCTTTCCTTTTGTGACTCATACCCGAATCCTCAAAATGGTGTTTGGAAGCAGATTTAAATCTACTCATGTGATCAGGATTAGCGTTTTTAAAATACAACAATATACTTAAATTTTCGCTGAGCCTTCATTTTATCTTATTGGTTAAAATATGCAATATTGGGTCCCAAGCAATAACTATAGAATCAGTCAAAGTATCATATTGCAGAATTACTTGTGAACAATTATATAAGGTAGTTGTAACTTTCAAGGGATTTCCCTTCTATCATTTTTGAAATTATGGTTTCATAAAACTTATTTTATGAAACATTCATGTTCTTTTCATTTTCATTACAAGTTTCAAAGGAGCCACTTGTCAGATTACTCTGTGCTCACGAAACCCTTAATAAAAATAGTCAGAAGAATGTAAACATCACTTAGGAATCATTAAAACTGTAAATAGTGATAACTTATTTCTACCAATTAATTGGGATTGGTTTCCCCCATAAGAACTCAGGATTTTTGCTAAGTACTATAATAACCCAATATCAACATGAGAATGTTAAATTTGCTGCTGCTGTAAAACTAGCATATGTAAGGGGAGAATGAGTTAGATTTAACTTTTTATAGTGTGTGTATAATAGTAATTGGGCAGCACCAATTATATAATACAGTTAAATCTGTTTTTAATCTGTTTTAATTTTATTATTGTATACTTAATTTGATTATTTATTTTACCTGCTTATAAATCATTTTGGGATGTTTTAGTGGGAAGTGATACACATATTTAATCAACCTAACCTAGTCTTCATCAAGCCAATTTGGGTAATATGTTTTAAAATATATGTTCTACTGTAGGGGAAAATAAAAAAACTTGTCACAAGAAACTTGACTGTAAATTGTAAGTGATAAGATTTTATTATATTTCTTTCTCTTTTGCAGACTCTGGATGGGTTTGTTTTTGTGGTAGCATCTGATGGCAAAATAATGTATATCTCAGAAACTGCTTCTGTTCATCTGGGTTTATCACAGGTAGGAGCAAGTTCTGTCCCCCTATTGAATGATGATGTTCTTCCTTTGAATTGATTTTAGTTTTTTGTTTTGTTTTTAAGTTAAATAATTCACACAGCTTATCACTGTAAAGGAAAAACTTTGCATTTTGCTTGTTACTTATATACATTTTGAAACTAAGAATGCAGTCCACAAAAGTGCTTTGCTAACTCTACTCTCCCTTGTGCTACTAAAGCCCCCTGGAAGCATAGTCCACTTGTCATCCAATTATAGCGAGTGCTGCCTATTCCTAGCTGGGTGTTGTTGCAAATGGCCATTGGCCAGAGCAGTGGTATAGATCTCTGGGAAAAAAGTGGAAAATTCCAGTCTGTGTTTTGAATTGTATGCAGTAAGAATATAAGAACCGCTGGATCTGACCAAAGGCCCATCCATCTCACAGTGGCCAACCAGATGCCTCTAGGAAGTCCACAAGCAGGAACTGAGTGCAACAGCAGTCTCTCCACTTGTAGTGTTAGCTGCTGTGAAAACAGAGGAAACCTGAGTTTTATAGTAAATGTGCTTTAGGAAAAAATAAAAAGGCAGCAGATTTATGAGTGTTCACATGGAATTCAGGCAATTTTTCTTGAGTTTTGCCAGCCTTGTGGCCTTTTCAGTAAAGCGTTTTATATGTTTATGGTAGAACTCATAAAACCAGGTTTACTACTGTTCTGCTCAAACGTTAGTGTTTGGGGTTTTAGGGCACTGTTACATTTGTTCATTTTAAAGGTAACTAACAATTTCTTAAATGTATGTTCAACTGAAAACAATGGGATTTACTTTCAAGTACATGTGTTTAGAATAAAGGAATTCTATTTCTGTTAGCAAGCTGAATTGGGATGTGATACAGCATTTTGAATATTTGTGCCCAAAACTTGTAATTAGCCCATGTTTAATGGTTTGAAAAGTTATTCTTTAGCAACCTTAGGTTGCAATCATATACCACTTAAACTCAGTGTGATTTCCTTCTGATGTAGAGGATTGTGCCATTTATCAACACTGGATGTTCCCACTATCATGGAAATGTTTTCCCCCCCTGAAACCTGTGTGAAGTACTGCTGATTCAGTAAACAGTAAAGAGGGTGTTTATTTTCATGTGTGGAGTGGCTCTTACAGAATGCTCCCACGTGGGCCTTAAAGTGCATGGTGGGTCAGTATTCGCTTGCCAGCTTCATTTTGTAGGCTTCTCCTTGTAGCCTTGAGCGAAGATCCACATATTTGCTTTGACTTTTATTAATTAGAGACAGATTGTTATATATCTTTAAAAAAGATTTAAGAATGGTATGTAACTATTTATGAACTCACTGATAGGGCAAGGGACCTGAGGTAGAGTCTGGAATCGTATTGCCTAGGCACCACTAAGAGGGGAAGGGCAAGGCAGCAGAAGCAACCTGCTTGCTGTTTCCTCAGAGGCAATTAACAATTGGGCACTAAGGTTTTTTGCAGGGCCATTTTTGTCATTGTTGGACCTTTTGAAATAATTTCCTTTTCTGTGGTTAGAAAAGACCTCTGTACTAGACTTGTCCCTGACATGACACCATGTTCACCAGTTGCCTACACAGTAAAAACCAATTTTCTAGCTATTTTTTAAAGTAACTTCTCATTTCTTTTCAAAAGTGCTCTGCTTTGGTGACATCTGCTTTTCTCTGAGACTCTCAGAGGAAAGCAGACACCACTAGAATGAGGGAGTTCTTTGGTGGAAAAAAATAAACGAAAGCAACTAGTTGTGTTAGTAGTAGCAGATCCCTAAATGCAGGCATGGCAAGGAGGTATGTGAGGTATAGAAGCACTCTTAAAAAACTTTTGACTGTTTTGGTATTCTGGGGAGAGGATTCCCCTCACTTTTTCTGTGCGCCAATACTGTATAGGTAAAGAGGTAATTCTATACATGTGATGCCTTGTTAAGAGACTAAGGTATGACTATGTCTGTTCTACCCTTCCCCAAGTTCTTTCTGTCTCTAATTTCTACTATAGCTGCCTATTCTGCCTTTTCAAACCACCTTTTCCCCTTTCCAGTTTCTATCCTTCACTCCCTAAAAATGTTCATTGTGCAAACTGTGTTGCCTCCTTCACTCTCCTGTCTGCAATACTCTACCTTCTTTCTTTACCCTTTTTTCCTTTTGAGAAATAAGTAGGAAAATATATTTTGGAAGAATGGCTTTGGGTAAAACACTGCCTCTTTGCATTTACAGTCTCTCTCCCAACAAAGCTAGAAACAGAGAGCTGTGTTATGTTAGGTCTGATTCAGGGTAATTCTTCCTTCTTGGAAAGGACACAGAGATACAAACTGATACTACTACTTGTTTCCATGTGGGTGGATCTGCCCCTGCTTATATACCACTTGTTTCCTCAAAGCTGGAATGAAGGCCCACAGGACAAGATTGAATTTTTTCACATAGCTATTGTGTATACATTTGGTAAACATTAATAAGCATTCACATAGCTGTTAGCCAGATGAAAGACTGCATTCTATGGCTTATAAAATGTACTGAGCTTTTAAAACTTTAAATTGGTTGAGATTCCAATCTCTAAATGAATCTATGCCTTAATTCAGTAAAGCAAGGCACATGCTTGTAGAAAACACATGAGTTCAACCACATATTTAAATTTAGACCTGTTGTTAACTAGTTAACTACTGAGAACTGTGAAGTCTAATTCACAAACTTGTTAAAGCTGCTTTTCATTCCAACCCCAAATGTCCTAGTTCTGGTTGGAACTCAATCAGAATACTAGTCTCATGGAGTTTACTAATTGGTGGAAGAGGAGAGCAGGAAGAAACGGTTGAACCTGTGACTCTTTATAGTTTATCCAGACCATGATAAAAAGGACCGTTTTGCAGTTTTAACCTACTAAATGCTAACTGAAATGGTAAAATTTGCATAAGGTGTGAATTCACCTTTATAGAAAAGTTAGCTATATCAATTGTTTGAGGAATCAGGAGTGCAAATGGATGGTGTATACACTGTTCCCAAGCTCAATGTAACAGCCACACTGCCAGGGCTGTGTGAGCATAGTCCTTTAGGAAAAGACCAAACTCTGATTAGCCTTTGAGAAATGAGTGGGGCTATTCATTTCTCCCCTACCACCCTCCACCCAAGCTCTGATCACACATTTTTTAAAAGGGGGTTATGCCACTTAGAGGTTTTTTTCATTGTGAAAAATCACGGGAACTAAACATTCTATTTCATTGTTAACTCCTCCAGCAACAACTGTTTGAATCTAGAGCTCAAAATAGGGTCATACTGAATACTTTTTTGGTGTAATTAGTATTCACATAGATCACAGTCTTCAAGTCATGTATGCTGCAACTGAACCTTTTTTGCTCATGGTAAGACAAAACAACTTGTAGATCATGGCTATTGGTTGATAGCTGCTTTTGGTCCAGGAAGACGATAGGAGTGTTAGAAATGCAGTGGGGTATTTGTAAATCATATGTATATTACATACAAGAGACCTCTGAAAAATAATACTAAATGGAAAAAAAAGCTGCTATAGTTCTGAATGTATTAAATATATTCTTGACAGGTGGAACTCACCGGTAATAGTATTTATGAGTATATACATCCATCAGACCATGATGAAATGACAGCGGTTCTAACAGCTCACCAGCCTCTTCATCCTCATCTCTTACAAGGTACTTCCATATGATATGACCATATACAAGTAAAAAGGATGATGAGATGTAGTGCTGATATTAACATGCTAACACTTAATCCACTGAAATTTACAAATGTAAAAAGGGTTCCTGGCCAAGTGTTGTATCTAGCTATATTGATATAGCATCTTTCATCTCATTCCAAATTGTGAAAATAATATTAAAACTTCATTCTTCAGCATATCTAGTTGCAATATTAAGTTTGTTCACAGTGACGAAACTTTAAGTTGTAGACTACAGTTATGAAATAATAAATAACTCTGTGAACAAGGGTATAGTAGGTATTGAGTTGTGAAAAATGCTTTGTGACCATTTGGCAACAAACAAAACATTCTGAAGTTTTATGTGATCCTTCTTCAAAAAACATAGAAATGGGAGAGAGCAAGTGAGATTGATTTCATTCCATCACCTCAGGGATGATTCAGGGTTGCATGAAAGCTAAATATAATTTCACAGAAGGGGCTAAAGTATCTTGTTAAATAGTCATGTGCAATCTGAATGTACAAGCACAAATTCATTACATAAAATAGCCACTGCCTCCTTTTTTTAATACCATGACGTATAGCAGAGCAAACCGTTTAAATGTCAATAGGACATATTTATTTGTAAATCTTTTTTGAAGTTGGACATGTTGTCTTTGAATTTCCAGGAAAATGGGATAATTTAAGATACATACTTGATTAAAACAAGAACAATTCACTTATTTGAAATTCCATTGATGAGATGAGTATTTTATCTTTAATGTGTATTTGATAATTGACATCTCAGTTCAAACTGGATGTAAATAAATATGTGGGTTTAGATGAGTCTGTTTTATGTTCTCTCTTAATATCTGGATTGTCTGATCTTCAAAGTATCAGCAATCTATTTGATGTATGGGTAAGACAAAGGTACACAAATGACGTGGAGCATGATTTCTTTTGTCACATGTGGAGAGTTTCTTATAAGGCCTGGTAAATGTTTCTTCTTTCCTTCCTCTTCTTTGTCATATATGCACCAGCCATTACATTGGAATAGTGCAGAAGGTCTGGATACACTAGAACCATGCTGGCCTTTTGTTCTGAGTAATGGCCAGTACATGGTCTCCAAGAGGGAAAGGAGAAAACACATCATTTGTCACCCCTCTGATGGTGGCTACACATGGAGATGAATTGCCCCTTTGGTTTTAATTCATTAAGTATCACACATTGTCCAGTAGCAGGCCATGTATCTGGAAAATACTGGCTAGAGTTTTATTTGCAAATTTTCTTTTTAAAGTGCTTGATACAGTGGTACCTCTAGTTGTGGACTTAATCCGTTTCGGGGTGCCATTTGCATCCCAAAAAGTCCGCAACTAGAGCGCCTCTTCTGCGCATGTGTGTGGTGCGATCGAGCGCTTCTGCGCATGCACGGAGCACGCAGATCACTTCTGCACATGTGCAGGCGGCGAACCCGGAAGCAAACACTTCCAGGTTTGCCGCGTTCGTAAGCTGAAAGTCCGTAACAAGAGTGGAACGCAACACGGGGCATGACTGTAATTCAGACAGAACAGATGTTTTTCCAGCCACCAATAATTAAGCTTTTGTGGCTAGAAATGGTTTGAGTAGTAGCAGCCTAGAGGATCAAACACTATTATTATCTGCAACCCACTCCCAGGATGGCTCAGTTTGCACTGGGGGGAATTAAAAAAAAACATAGGTGTTGAGGTAGGGAGCAGTAAACTGACCATTTAAGTTAGTTGTAATATTTGTTTAGCAAACTTTGAGATGTTTGGAATGTGGCTCTCCTTGGAGTGGGATCTCCTAAGGAAGACCTAAACCCCAGGAGGCAAAGGGGAATGTTGCTTGAAATTCTGGACTGGGTTTCTTGTTTTGCTTTCTGGTTGAATTTGCAAAGCTACTAATCTGAGCGCCTGGTAGGTGTATGTGTGTGTGTGTGTCGTTGCACATGAACTTACTGGTTTAGTTATAAAGCAGGCAGGGAGGTTTTCCATGACAAGGAGCATTCAGGGTGTGGAGGAAAACCTCCCTTCCTCATCCTTATCTCTCTGAGTTCCTTTAAGAGGTTTTCTCTGTGCTGTACTTCTAGTATTGGAGCTAGACAAGGAAAAGGATGGGTTTCCTTCCCATACATACTCCTTTTGTCATAACTCCCACTACCCCTCACTTGTCCTTTAGGGACGTGGGTGGTGCTGTGGTCTAAACCACTGAGCCTCTTGGGCTTGCTGATCGGAAGGTCAGTGGTTTGAATCCATGTGAGCTCTGGCACTCTGCACGGTGTTCCGTTGCGCCAGAAGTGGTTTAGTCATTCTGGCAACATGACCCAGAAGGCTGTCTGCTGGCTCCCTTGGCCTGAAAAGCGAGATGAGCGCCACACCCCATAGTCACCTTTGACTGGACCAGCACCTTTGAGCTGGGTGAGAATACAGTGCAAAAAACAAAACAAAACAAAAAACAGTGGCAGGATCACTCAAGTGGATTTATTGCTAAACAATTGACAAAGATGCTGAGATCCTGATCCTGCAGAGGTTTAAAAGTCTCAAGGTTTCAACTGTGGCCATGTTTCCTAAGTGTGTTTTAGATTGGCTGCTCTTTCTCAGAATGTAGGCTATGGCATCAAGGGTCTTTAGCTACCAGTTAGATTGCTGCAGCTGCTGACTCGGAAAAAAGTGTAGCAGACTATGAGACACCTTGCAGAAAAAGATTTTCTAGTTTGTTATTCTAATGTCATCTTTTACTTAATGTGTTAAAGTAAAGGTATGGCTTACATATTCATGTTTTGCATGTAACATGTTAAGTCAGCTAGTTAGATAGATCTTCAGGATTTTATAGGTGTTAGGCCAATAGATTTGTGTGTTTTTTTAGTTTATGAACCTAGCTCTTGGGTGGCTCAGGAGTTACATAGCTTCATAGGTTTGGGAAACTTCTTGCTATCTTGGGATGGATCAACACGTTTCTGGTGTGTGTTGGTTCACATATGATCATAAATCTGTTTCTGCAACTATCTGCAATTTTTTAAAAGCAAAAATAATCACATTAATGTATTATTATTTTTATAAAAGACACATTTTGAACGCATTTTATCCTAAAATACACATTTTTGTGTGCATTTCGGTACATTTTTTGAGCTGATACCTGTATTGCAAAATGGGAGAAGTATAAAAACAGAAGGATAACTCTGTTCTGATCCACGTATTAGTCTGGTAAGTGCAGATCTAGTCAGTTTGCTTAAAAATGAAGACCAAACAAAATCCTCAAGCAATTCAAGGATAGGTGGGTAGGTCATTTGTCTCTCTCGTAGTTTGTCTGCAGGGGATATCAACCTGCTAGCTGTATGGAGCTGCATTATCTCTACAATTCTATGATCTCTCACCAGGCAGCTTATTGCAATTGTCTCGCTAGCAAGGATGTGCTCTGTGTGGCACAGGTCCTTGAGGAAAGAAAAAATGAATGCAGTCAGCAGGAGGTAGCAGGTTGTGCATAGATGTAGGGTGCCCAAATATTTGCGCAAGGGCTAAGTATCCATGTGCCTCCAACATGTCCAGAAAAGAACATGGAAGGTGAGAATTAGTATCTTGCTCTAATTCCTAGCAGAACCAGTAAGGATATGGTTGGATCTTAGTACAGATGTCATAAAGTCAATTTTTAGCGAGTTTACATGTGTATTGTTCATATTCGTAAGCCGTTTGTTGTGAAGAACTACTGTTTTCCATGTAGGAATGTTACATGGAAGAAAGTGAAAGCATGTAAACACCTTAATTTGGTGGAAGCAGCACAAAAATGTCAACTTCTTAATCCATAGGAAATAAATTTAGGCTGTGATTGTATGCTTAGCTGGGAGTAAGTTCTACTGAACTTGGTGAAGTTACTTCTGAGTAGACATGCACAGGATCACACTGTTTCTCAATTTGCTGGAATGTGGAAGTCCTCATCAAGGGAGTTTGGGAAGTTACTAAGGGAAGTATAATTCTGCATTTAAATAAAGCATCTTAATTGCAAATAAAATTATATTATTAAAATATATTTTTAACAATGGAATATACTTTGAAACCCTGTGCTCCAATTTGACATTCTGAGCATAAGTTTCAAACACCTAAATATTCAGGAATAATCCGAAGATAATGAAATGAACATCCCTGTGTGAGATGGTTGTCTTTTCTACACTAAATAAGGCAGTTTTCTGTCAACTCATTAAAAAATCTATACTGGTCCTGGGAAATGATTTATAATGAGTTGAAAAAAAAATGTTTAAAATAACCTTCCCAAAAAGACTGGAGTCCTTCTTATTGGGAATAATTCATACAGAAATTCCCAGATGTCAGGGAAAAAAATTATGTATTCAACAACAGGGGCTCGAGTATTGTTAGCCCCAAAATGGAAAGTGAGTGAGGTCCCAGGTAAAGAGGATTGGCAATGTAAGATGCTAGAATATACAGAACTTCAGGCTTAACACATAGCATAAGAGAACAAGAAGAACACATATTTAAAGAAGAGTGGAAAATATTTATTGAATATATGGAAAATAATTGCACACAGCTGAAAACGCTGGCAGCATTAAGATAAATTCATCAGTGTGATTAATGTTTGAACAATGTAAAAATAGAGAATGGATTTAATTGGTTATAGTAAAATATGCAGGAATTTGAGATAAGTAAAATGAACCATGGAAGGAGAAGAAAGGAAGTCATTGGATATTTAAAAGTATGTAAAATGTTTATTCTGAAATATAAAAATTGATACCTCTGAGAGAATGATGGCATTTCAGAGAACATAGTACAGAAACTGGCCTAAAAATGTTTAAAATAAATAAATTCATGGTTTTAAGGTTTTGAGGGATGCTTAAAATCATGAGGCCTGTGACAAAGAATGGCTTAGCAAGCATTCTAATTATCACTTTCATATTCATGCTTCATGTTTGTAAGCATAACTAAAAAAATGCACTACAGGTTTAATATTAAAAACTATGTTAAAATGGCAAAAGGAATATTGTAAAGAGTCTTGAAACATTTGTATTTTGTTTTCAGAGTATGAAATAGAGAGATCTTTTTTTCTGCGAATGAAGTGTGTTTTGGCCAAACGGAATGCAGGACTAACATGTAGTGGTTACAAGGTAAAGTGCTTAGATTTTTGCCATCTTCGCAGGGCAACAGTTTTTAATTATAGAAGCTTGCCTTAAAGCAAACACATATTTTACAGTAATATACAGTAATATCTGTGACATTGATGCTAGGGCTGAGTCAAAATGGAAGGGAGTCTGTAAAAATTTCCCCCATCATGAAACTTGCCTTCACTCTTTTTTGGTGGTATGTGTGGATTTGTGAAACATGGCAAAAATGTTTTGACTATTCAAAATGCAGTCAGGAAGACATTCTGATATAGCTTCATGATAACACCATGAAGCCAAAGTTGACTGTCTCTCTGACACCCTCATGCTGTATGTGTCTGGGATTCCATTTTTATAAAAGGCACTAAAGTGGCAGATCAGGAAAAGAAGCACCTAAGAACAGTATGCAAAAAAGATAAGCAATGAGTCCACTCTTTTTCACCTTAAAACTTCACAGGTGAAGATTCAGTACAGCTCTGATTAATAGCATTTATTGCCATAGGCTCCCCAGTGATTGAACTTTGCTTCCAGGGAGGCTTGTATTGTACTATTCTTACTGCCTTTGAGGGGGCCAGTGAAAACCTTCCTTTATTGCAAAGGGCCTCTTAGCTGAGTTAGATTTAAAACTGGATATTTTGTCTTGCTTTGGGGGACGGATCATAACTCAGTGCTTTGTGTACAGAAGGTCACAGGTTCTCTCCATAGCATTTCCAGTTAAAAGATTAGGTAGCAAGTGATGGGGAAGACCTCTGCTAGAGACCCATGATAACTTCTGCCTGTCATAGTAGATGTTACTGGGCAAGATAGGCAAATGGTCTGGCCTGGTACCATACAGCTTGCTACGGTATTTTGCTCTGTAAAGCTCTTTCTTACTGTGAACCACCCACAATGCTTCACTATGGGGCAATATGGAAATTAAACAAAGAACTTATTTAGGCAGGTAAACTCCAGTGTATTTTGTACCTTCTCCTTTGACTAATTAGCAGACTGTTGGGCAATCTCCGTTTCCCCCGCACACGTTTCTCTCTCTCTCTCTCTCCCCCCCTCCCTTTCCCATCCCCATTCCCTTCTTCCAGGTCCACAGCCTCTTGTGCAGACATGCAAATGCTTTGCAGTAAAGCTTATAGCCTAATACTGTGCATGTTTACTCAAAAGGAAGGCTTTGCTGAATTCATTGGGGCTTATTCCCAAGTAAACAATCATAGCGTTGCGTGTTTTCCTTTGCTACCTCATGCTATGTCCCGGGAGAAGCCAACCCCAAATCCAGTCTGCAACGGTTTTGGCTGTCATTTGTTTGCTGCATCAGCAGCCTCTGTGAAAGCAGCTTCTGCCACAGCAAATAGCAAATGGCTTATTTGCAAGGATAACAAAAAACTCTGAGGATCAGAAGGATTGAAGGTGGAAATTGCACAGCAGTTCTTCCTTCTCTTCTCTCCTTGAGTGAATGTGAGGAGGCAAAGGTGGAAAGCCTCTGCATGTACATGTTATTGAGACCACTAAACTCACTGAACGTACTTTTGAGTAAATATGCATAGGCTACACATTATAATGAATCATGAATGCATGTGGAGAAGCGAATGGAATTGCTTCTACCCCTATGTAGGTTCAGCATGCCATGTGAACGAGCCTATGCATATACTGATGGTATGGCTATAGGCTCTGTCTACACAGTCACAAACTCTGAAAAAGGCATGTCTCCAGTTGCATGTGCAGTGCTTCCACACTCACATCTTTTTGTGCTGAATTATGCCATGAGCGCCAACCACAAAATGGCTAACATGGTGTGGGTGGCATAAAATGGCTGCTCTAGGGTGTGTGGCATAACTCACCCACATTTAAAAGAGCAGAAAAAGACTCAGGACTACCAAATGGTGTGTGCATGTCCCCCCTGTCGCATCAGTGTGGAAAAAGGCATCTACCCCAGCAACTGCCGTACTGCTCATAGAGAGAAGTTCTTTGCACCTCTCTTTGTTCAGAATAGAAGGTGTGTGTCCATTCAAGTGAAATGTGGGCATGTTTAATAGAGTGTGGTCAGTGCAGGAGAGGCCAAACCAGTGCAAACAGGAGCTGAGCTGAAAGAGCAAACAGACTCTCATGCGTTGCAGATTTTTGAGCGGATTATTTACTGAGACCTGTGGACTCCGTGTTGGCAACCCCAGGGGATTGGACACAATCCTACTGTCTTTCAGTTTCTGTCGGTCTTTCTGTCACCACTCATCTCTGCCTCCCTCCTTCCAAGCCGATAACTGTTTATGGCAAGACTTCGGTACAAACACCAAACAGTGTTCTGTGTGTGCATTTCAACATAGGCTTATCAAATGTATAATTTAAATTTGTGTGTATGCATGTTTAATTAGGTTTATGCAAAGAAAAATATTATCTGGATATTTCACACTGACCATTATGTTATAATAAGATAATGTATAATAAATATTCAGAGGGTCACAAAAATAATTTGATACTCTGAATGTATCTAGAGAATGTTGAGTCAAGATCTTTGCAATTTAATGTCAGCTTAATTGTCATATAGTGTTGGCATGCAATACATGGTATATGTTGACCTCTGCTTTAAAACTACCAATTCACCTGTAAAAAGACTACTCAGGAAACACACACACACAGAGTGAGAGTGAGAGAGAGAGAGAATATATCCTGGAGATTTTAGGTAAACAGTATTGTCAAGAGGCCATCTTAGTCATTCGTTTCCCCTTCATAACTGTACCTTTTTTCTCCCATATCATACCAGGTGATCCACTGCAGTGGCTATTTGAAGATACGTCAGTACATGTTGGATATGTCTTTGTATGATACCTGTTACCAAATTGTGGGGCTGGTTGCTGTAGGTCAATCATTACCTCCGAGTGCAATCACTGAGATCAAACTCCATAGTAACATGTTTATGTTCAGAGCAAGCCTAGATCTAAAACTGATATTTCTAGATTCAAGGTAAGTAAAAATTTATTTTTTAAAAATGGCTGTTCTATTTTTCCACATGCTTGTGGCAACTTGCAAAAGATAGATGAAAAATATAAAGCTGAAAAAACAGCAAGAGAACAATAGAATCCACACAAAACTGTAGCAACAATATTATCTTTGAATAGTTACAGCATTTGAAAATGAAGCTTTGTTGTACCTGTTACGCCTGTAACATGAACATGGCATAAAGTGACACTTTAAGAATCACTGTAGGACAAGCCACTGCTCATGGAGTAAATACTTTTATTTGGTAGCATCTAGCAGTCATTGTTGAAATTGAGTTAACCAAAATTACTGGAAGACTGAGGTTGTCTTTTGAAGACTGGATATTCTCTGAATTATGCAAAGTGGAGAATAGAGGAAGTATTAAGTTGCTGCATTACAAAGTTGACAAATGAGGCACAGCTCAAATAGAAAGCTGTTGGCAAAACTTCATACACAGACCAGGACTCTGAAGTTCTTAGTTTGTACTTTTATCACAAAACCATATTTGCTCCATCTTTTGTTCCTAACGTCGCAGTTTGTATAGCTTGCATACCATAATATGGGAATGCTGGGGGTTGGACTAGATGATCCTTGGGGTACCTTCCAATTCTACAGTTCTATGATTCTATGAAAATAGCCATTTGTAAGATGTAATGTCAATATTGGCTTGAATCCTAACTAATACAAAATAGGCCTTTGCTGCTAAAATGCTGAAGTGAATTCCCACAGAAATAATAGAACAGGAGAGTCTTCTTTTGCTGTTCCTGCTGTGTACAACATACCTCACCCAGCCCTAAACCACTGCATGTTAAAAAGAAATAAAACTAATTCACACTAATTGTTTGTTTGTTTATGGACCATTTAATTATAAATATGGTCAAAGCAGTCTAAGCAACAACTTACTATAAATTCACAATAATAACATTTGCTGTTTTGTTAGCAGCCGTGTTACTCTTTCTTGGTCATGTTTGTCTTTGTCTTTACTGAGATGTTTTGTTTTATCTTGCTCCCAGTTTAGCAAAATTTAAAAAGAATAGGGAAAGGGATATTGGAGAGAAACAGTAGGTTGTGAAGTTGTCTTTGTAAATATTTCTCGAACTGAAATATTGCTCATGACATCTGTTGATATTTGATATGGGTATATTTGAAAATATCTTAGTTGCTATGCAATGGTGTTTCGTATTTGACAGCATTTTATATTACTAATATATAGTTAAACTCTTGTATCTGGAGTGAAGTGAAAAGGGAATACTGGTTGTTAACCCAGTAGTTTTTTGGTCGACTCATGTACTGGGGTAAGACACTGAATTATGTCTGTGCTATGTGAGCTACAGATAATTTTTTGATCATAAGGTGGGATGAAAGAATCTGTCAGTTTTTATTCTTTAAGCTTCTCATTTTTTCCAGTCTTAACTTCAGTTCTACAGCAATTTGTGATTTATTTATTTTTAATCCTCATGAAAATTCTTCAGCATTTGTGCAAATTTAGTAGGCAAATTTATCCTCCTAAACATATTTTTGGGTGCAGTTTTGACTAATGTACAGATTTTTAAAACAAATTTTACTAATATAATGTGTTTCTGTATGCTTTCACAGATAATTCATTCTTATACACATATCTTTCTAATATATGCATTTTTGTAAACATTGGTTGGAGAACTGCACAGCAAAATTCAGATGAGTGTGAATTTGATTAATTTGGCTTTAAAAGCTAACTGAATTAAATTTCTTCCCCATTGCTACTTAAGTGACCTTTCCCTTGGTGTACATTTTGAAACTTTAGTGGAGAAATAATTTAAAATTATCTACAAGTGGAGCAGTGCTGGAGGTTACAATGTAGAGAAGAACTGAAAAGTTAATAGGGTAGGGGTGTGGACATATGAGTATTTGTTTCTATCAGTTTTCAAAAGGAGGCTAAAAGCACGCTACTAAATTTCTGCATCTTACTTTCAAAACTTACCAGATATTGAACGTGAGAGATAAATGAAAAATCTGTTGACTTCAAGACAAAATAGCAAACTCATGACCTTAGTGGTAGAGGAAAATGAATACTCTCAGCAGTGCTTGATTTCATTTGCTGTATTAACTCATTTCCTCTTCTGTGTTCATTACAAACAGGAAATTAGTTCTATATAATGCCTTTGTAAAGAGTTATATTTTAGGCTTTTGAGTAGAATACCCTATTGCTCTCCCCCCACCAAGGAAAGGATAAAAATCAATGTCACAAAGTTTATTAGCATTTTCTTGCTGTTATCTGTAATCAGACAGCACAGCCATTGATGATGAAGTCCAAAACATCTGCAGGGCACCAGTTGGGGGAAGCCTTGCCTAACCCTTTAGTATCATTGTTCTAAGTAATAATAGCACCTTCTCTGATACCTATTGATAATCAAAGACGGGTGACAAACAAGATAGACCATGTGGATGGGTTTAGCATTCTGATCCCTAGATAAATCTGGATTACCGTACTTTTCTGTCCATAAGACTATGGTTTTTTTTACTCAAAATTAGGGGTCGTTTTATACATGGGTAGTGTGCATTGTGGGGATATCGGATTGGTTGCTGCTAGTTGATTATTGGTGGCTGTGGCAAGGGCTGGTGTTGATTGGCTGTCACTGTGGCAATTGGGCAGCCAATGTGCTGCGTTTTTCGGCGTTGGGACAGAGGATTGGTTGATTTGGCGATGTGCTCAACAATTCTGGGCAGTCCTCCCCCCAAAATCCCCCCTTTTCTTAATTTTGAGCCCCCCATAATAGGGGGCATGTTATACATGGAAAAGTACGGTATCTTTAAAGACCAGTTAAGACAAGATGGCTTTGCCCTATGGCTACATCATGAGATTCCTGCTGAGAGGACCTGTAATAATAATAGCTTATCACATGAGTTATATTGCAGTGAAGGCTGTAACTGTGCAAATCTTGTGTCCAGACAGTGAAATGATCACACTTTCACATCGTACAGGTGCTGCAGAAGGCATATTTTATCCTTTTATCCTCAGTGGTAGGGCCTTAGTATTTTTTCTGTACCCAAGTTATTTGTGTTGCAGTATTCATTGTCCTGTTATTCTGTAATATCTAACTTAAATGTTCTTTTCATCCCTCTTAAGGGACACTGCTATCTGTTATTCCTTCTCCTAAGACAAGTATCTAATTTCTTTTATGCTCTCTTATATTTATAAACTGATTACAGGCCCTACAGATTAATCACTCCTGTTATATTCATTAATCTTGGCAAAAGGTAAATGTCACTTGTGGGTTTGCCAGCAGTAAAGAAAATGATCTTTGCTTACTCTTTTCTTGAGTAGCTCTCTAAGCACAGAAGGAAGCTCACAAGACAGTAATAAATTTGTTTGAAAAACCAACTAGCACATTGTCGATACATACTATTGAGCACATTTAGAATGTATCCCCCGCCCTCCCTACTCAGGCAAAGGGATAGCAATAAAGCATTTAGACCAGGCATGACCAGACCACTGGTCCTGTTAGCTAGGAATGATGGGAGTTGTAGTCCCAAAACAGCTGGAGGCCCAAGTCATAAATTTAATGCATCCCAAAGAAATAACAACTGCCACATTTGGACCAGGAATGAGATTTAATAGTATCCAGCAGCTGCTCTAGTAGGAAGCTAGCTCTTATGTACCCTTTTAGTCTGTAATATTGTCCCAGAGTCCCCGTAGGAGGCCCCACAATTCATTTCATTTGTACCATATATCTTATCCTGCAGTACTGCTAGTTGTATCCTTTGGCAATTCTGAATGTGAGCAAATATTCATCCTCTGTCCCATTAACCAGTCAACACCATACCTACCCATTATCTTACAAAATGGAACAGCCACCTAAGACGTTTCTGCTTAAAAGTGAGAATTGTTATTATAGCATTCCCCTATAATAGATCGGTGCTATGTAATGCTTGATATATTTCAGCATAATCCTTTATACTGAAATGCATATAGGTATTTTAAATATATTGTTGAGATTTTGTACTCTATGAAGCTAATAAAGTTAAAAACAAATGTATACTGTAAGCCTGCAACTTATGTGGGGGTTACATTCCAGGGATTGCTTCTTAAGCCAAAATTGTGTATAGTCAAAACACATTGGGTTCAATAGCAGCTGGGATTGCCAGAGTCTTTTTTCTCAGATGTCTACCCCCTTTCTGCCCCTTTTGATTTTTTAAAACTGCTTTTTGCCAAGCACGTAAAACTGAATGCGCACAACTTAAATGTGCATAAGTTGTGGGCTTACTGTAATTCTGAAGGTTTCAGGAAACTTGATTTCTGGAAAAGGAGAGCAATTGTTTATTGCTGTAAAATATTTAAGGATGCTGCTTATTAACTATATTTCTTCCTTTTAGAGTGACTGAATTAACTGGATATGAGCCACAGGACCTGATAGAGAAAACTCTCTACCACCATGTGCATGGATGTGATGTATTTCATTTACGATATGCTCACCATCTTTGTAAGTAATGGAAAACAAGTAAAATAATTTTGTAATGATGTTGATGTGAGTTATTCACAGTATAAGTGCTGGGAAACTATGACTAGGCACAGCTTTCCTAGTAAAAAACTCACATGTAAAATGGTAATGTATTGTCTACACCTGGGTTTCATATTAATTCATTGGCGTAACTTTTTAATATGTGAAGCTGCTGGATCAAATTTTGAAAGCAAAGTAAATTGATGAATCAGAGATTATTCATATCCATATTCTTCAAGTTAAGAAAATGTGAGCTAGTACTGGAAGAAGACGAAGTGACTGACAGTTTGTTACAGCTGTTGCTCCAGTACTAGTAGATTTCCTAAAGAACTTCATTAGCAACATGCCAAGCTATCAGGATGACTAGGGTAGGAATGATATTTGTGCACAAGTCTCTGGATTTCATGTGTATTACAGATTAGGCAACTCCTTTTTAATCAAAATGAATTTCTTTGGTATTCTGACAGTGCAGTAGTGGCAGAATTCATGTGTTCAAAGGCTGCCTGGATAAATTTAATAAATAGCAACAACAAATAAGTCACACTTTTTAGACAAGCCTGAGAACTTTTATTTTGAAGTTAAAGCAGTGTTTTGGAGCTCTGCATTGATGTCCTCTCCCAACTGTTTACAGCACCTTTGGGAGCAAATGGCTGCTGTGGAAGGCAGTAACATTTATAATGGAAATTGGGTATGTTGTTTGGCTCAGAAAATAAATGTAAAGAACCTTCAGGCACCGGCTATCTTAGCTGAACTAATCTATAGTAAGAAAATCCAAATTCTCTTAAGGGTGTGCATATCAACTTAATAGAGATGTTTTAATTTTCTGAAAAAATACATGCATCAGGAAGCTTGAGAAGTGGTCTGTGAGGAAAGAACTCTAGGTTAAAGCTAGACAACTGTACAACTAGTTCCATGTATTGAGCAGGACTTCTGCTTGTTCCCAAAACTGTGGTGCCCCGTTTCTCTGCTCATGGAAGTGGTTGCAGGATCTCAAGCAACCACTATTTTTCAATAAGCTGCTAAAATATAAAGTCATGCTTTAAAGTTAAATAGCCTGGCTTGTTTGGAAGCCATTAACCATAGTTTCCTGCTTCAGTTGTAACAGGAAGCTATAGTTAACTGCAAATTTCCTGTCTTGCACAAAGAGAGGAGCAGAGTAGCGACATACAGGTGTATGAGGCTCATTCATACCTCAGCTTATTAAGCCAAGATATGATTGTCAGAAAGCAGCCACTGAGAAAGTATAGTCCAAAATGTTCTTTCTCCATATCACTTCATTCTTAAATCTACAGTCAATATGGGATGTTAAGAAAAGGATATACAAGAAGGCAGAAGGCAGAACACGTTTTGGTTTGAGATTTTGTATTACAGCTATAAGAGAATTGGATAAATTTTTAATTAGGCAAGAGTCCAGGAGTACAAGAAAGCACAAACGAAGGCTCAAATGAGTTTTTAGCCTGCAATCCTATACACGTTTAGTGGGACTTCTGAGCAGACGTATCTAGGATTGTGTTTTATTTATTCGATTTTGTATTAGATAAGACCTGTATTAAGAGAACATTCAGTCGCAATAACCGAAATATTGCCCTTGCTTGAAAGTTCAATTATAAGGGTAAAATGCTCTTTTTAAAAAACAAATAAACCAAAGTAGAATGGTATGGCCTGAAAATCAATGATGTAACAAACTTTCTTAAGCCAAGCAGGTCTGGGTCAATGTCTGAATAGAAGGTCACCTGGGAGCCTTAAATATGCCACCTCAAGTTTCATGGAGGAAAGGCAGAGTATGAGTATAATTAAATTCCTTTCATGTTATGTTTTATAGTGTTGGTGAAAGGACAAGTCACAACCAAGTACTATCGGTTGCTGTCAAAGAACAGTGGCTGGGTTTGGGTCCAGAGCTATGCCACGATTGTACACAACAGCCGCTCATCACGACCTCACTGCATAGTGAGTGTTAATTATGTTCTAACGTAAGTCCATATTTCCTACCATTGTATACCACATTCATTTTATTCAGTGTCTCATGTTGATAACTTTATCTGATTCTTCCATCCTGATTTCCACTTTGTTACTTTAAAATGTTGATCACCGATATATATATATATATATATATATATATTTGTTGTGCTTTATAATACTCTATTAGGTTTTAATAAGGTAGACATCATTTCCTAGGGGGGGGGGAGTATTTTGGTATGGCCAACTCACTTCTGGGCTTCAATCTCACAGCTGAAGACTGTGTTCTAATACTAAAAGAATGACTACATTTCAAATAACATAAAATGACATTATTGAAAACCTTTCTTGAAGTCCGTCTACCAGGGCCACGGATGTTTTGCTGCCTGACACAAGGCAGAAGAGGGCACATCCCTTTCCATGTACAGAGGTTGCCTGAACTAGAAGTTAAATCTTATTTCAGCACTGGCAATTGTACAGCATCTTTCGCTGCACATCAAGGGTGCAGTCTACCTTAGGAGGCACAATGCAGTCTGCATTGCACACACATAATTCTATTATGCATCAGAGAGGGACAGCTGGGGTAGGGATCAGGGGGCGATGCTGCTACTGCCCCTCTGCACTCCACCATCTGCCACCTGAGATGTCCACCTTGCTCTGCATAATGGTAGGGCTGGTCCTGCTCTACTCCTACACTGTGACATATTAATGAACTAAAATGGCATTGGGATAAATGCAGCTCTTTTAGAGAAAATGCAGGTGCAGATCAGCTGATGACAAAAAAACAAACAAAAAAACTCCAGAAAACTAATTAAACAAAAAACAACCTAAGGAGATAACCATTCTTATGACACGGAGGCAGACTATTACTTTAGGATGGAGAAGGGCAGCCATTTTTCAAATATATTATTAACTATTTATGGGTTCCAGCTGCACAACTATGAACAAATGACAGGTTGAGAGTGTATATCAAATAACTGCTTACATACACAGTATTATAGAGGCAGTTGAATGAAAGCTTTGAAAGTATGAGAGGTGGCCCAGTTACTCCTCTCTGGCAATGTCTGGAGTTCAAGTGTCCTGAATTGAACTCCTAACCTAGCTTCACGGCTACCAACCCCTTCCTATCATTTCTTTGTGCATTAAGGATTCAGTTTTAATAGTCCAGTGACTGTGGCATGTCTGGTATTATTTTTTGAAGCTTTCTTTATGCCAGGGTTGGAGAACCTTTTTTCAGTGTGAGGGAAACATACACTCAGGGTTACCTTTACAGGGGTTATGTGCCAGCAGGGGGCAAGGCTGGAGGCAAAAGTAGATAGAGCAATGGGTGTGATTTTTACCTTGTGTGCACCTGGAATGCAGCCTGCTGTACACGTGTGTATACATGCACAGTCTCCATCTAGGCATCTGAGAGATATTATCATAGTTCAAGGAAACAGTACAGCCAGGCAAGAGCACTCAAGGAGTGTTGGGAGGGTGATGCATGGCTTGCAGAGCCCCAAGGGCCAGCTAGAGAAGCCCAAAGGATCACATTGGCACCTTAGGCCTGAGGTTCTCCCCCCGCCCCAATTTAAATGCTTGGGGGCACCTAAGTGAGGAGAAAGATGCAAATGGACCATTCCTCTGTTGCAATGCTGTTGTTGTTTTTTCAGAGATATAGAATATAAGGAACTCCCATTATCATTGGACCAGGTCACCATTTCTAAATCACAGTTTCCATGCAGAAACTCAGCGTCTACCTCACAAGAAACAAGAAAAGCAACAAAACCTAGAAGTAATAAAATGAAGACAAAACTCAGAACAACGCCATATCCACAACAGGTAGTAGTTTTTCCCCTCTATCAACATTTCATGCTAAAAGTGTGTGGCAACCTATCTGCAACAGTAGCTGTGAATAGTCACTGGAATTTCCTGCAATTCAAAATATCATAAATTCTGTTCCTTTTAATAGCCTGATCCTACAAATTGCTGCTTGGGGTACTGAGTACTGCAAGTTTAGAGGATCAAGAATATGAACTGTTGCAGCAATACAGCATCACTTGTGGTTTAATTATTTCAACCAATTGAGGGAACTACACTGGTGCAACAGCTTGTTGTACTAGCAGCATTCACCCTTTTGACAGATGCAACAGTTTGCTTGGAAAGCCACCAAGATCGTACAAAACGGGCAGAAAGGAGACAATACATGACCAGGTCCAGAAAGGTGCTCAGGGTGAGCGTTAACAATAGACACAAGAACAAGACAAAGGTAGAGTGCAGGGACAAAGAATAAAATAAGGTTGAACTGTCCATCCAAAGATCTGCCAGCTTCAGGACTGGTGTAGTTTCCTCCCTAGTTTGGGAGTGTATCATTTGGATACTGCATTTCGGAGAGACTTGCAGTCTTCTTTCCCTGATTGGATTTGGGGAACCTGTCTTGATTTGGAGCAGAAGCCATCTTTGCCTTGAGGAGCACCATACCAGCAATGTGCAAAGTCTTGCTTTTAGGGAGTGTTTAAAATGACTGACAGAAGAGCATTCCCAGCAGTGCTGTGCAAAGCCTTTGTGCCAGTCATTAGGAAACTTCCCTTGGAGCAAGGCTGCTCACATTGCTGGTTAGCTGACCCTCATGTCAAAGCTAGCTCTCACCTCTTTCTGAGCAATTTTCTAAGTGTAAAATGAATAAAAAAAGGGGCAGGCAAATGTTTCGAGTGGATAAACTTGTAGGCGCTTGGAAAAAAGGAAATAAAAAATTAGACAGCCTGACTTGAAATATGGAGGTAGGGGTGACCTTGAGCTTTCAATCCAAAGCAAGATAAGTGTGTCAGATCAAGAACAAGCCAATGGGAAGCAGATGTTCCCACCTCAGTGCAGGGGGGCATGACATCAGGTCCCCAGGACCTCTGTGTGGCCCTCTGAAATCTTGCCAGCTAAAGGGAATATGTGAAATCATGTTAAAGTGTTTCCAAACATGTGCAGAATGCCTTCACCCCTCACCACTAAAGCTATAGCTTGTCCATCACACACAGGATTAAGGAGCAGAGCTTCCAGAAAAATGCCAGAAAGGCTTGCGCTCCAGTTCCTCTCTTTAGAAATTAAGTGCTGCCAACTTCTCTTAGTTTATATGAACTGGTGTGACTGCAGTTCAAGGTGGTACTTGGCTGCAGTGCACTCTGTTAGTCTGTTATACTGACAGATTTCAGAGTCAGCTATTAAACACTTTTCTTTCTTTTTATTTGCTTTTTCAGCAATACAGCTCCTTCCAGACAGACAAACTGGAATGTGGCCAGGTTGGAAGCTGGAGATCCAACTCCACAGCAAATTCTGCCACCATCCAAGAACAAGCCTTCCATTCAGAAAACAGCGAACTTTTATACACCCCATCGTACAGCTTACCTTTCTCTTACCATTATGGACACTTCCCTGTAGACCCTCATGTATTCAGTAGCAAAAAACAAATGCTGCCTTCTAAATTTGGGCAATCTCAAGGAACACCTTGCGAAGTAGCTCGATTTTTCTTAAGTACTTTGCAGACAAGTGGAGAGTGCCAGTGGCACTATGCCAATTCTCTTGTTCCAGGAGGCAGTCAGTCACCATCGAAAAGTCCTTCCGATCAGTCAGCAAGCAGCGTACGCCATAATCTCTTACAGAGTTATGAAGGTGTGTATTAAATGAACAAATCTGAAGCTCTATTATACCCAGAAAAAAATCATACATGTTAAATATTTTTCAAATATTAAATGTGTGTTGTGGGTAAAACTATTTTAAACCTTTAACAAAAAGAGGCTGATGAGTTGTTAAGGAAAGGACTGAAAATAGTTGCAACTTACATTGCTCCTGAATTGTTCATATTTCTTTCTGAACATAATGCAAGAATAATAGTTAAGATGCAAATCTGATTGATAGCTAAAATTACCCCATTTCTGTTGCAAAGAATTTAACAAGAAGCCTAAATTCAGTTTTCTTAGGTCTCCTAGATTTTCTTAGGGTGTATTCACACAACACACTTTTGATTGTGTAGCCCTGCTACTACAAGCTTACTGACAATCCTGTATATTGTAGACCTCACACTAGAGTTCATGGGGCTACATCAGAGCAGACAATTGGACCACATTGTCCTCACAATATTGTTGTTTTGTCAGAGAATCAGATCTGAAAAGAAAGAGTTTTTGTGGGTACAATACTGATCACAGTAGCAACTTTTCTTTAGGGAGCATATTTTGGAGTGTTCCACAAGTAGCACAAACAAGCCTAATAAATCAAATGGAAAGCATTTTCATGTATTACATCTGATTATGTTGCCCGTTTATGAAGGTATGTATCCAAAGTGAAAAAATAAAACTCAAAATTGTTTACAAAAATTACATTTTTAAATAGTTCCAATAATGCTCCAGTTGCCTCAGAAGGTAATTAGCTATAATTTAGAGTTTCCAAGAACCTGCTTTAACTCCCATCTTGCAATTTGGCATGGAGAAGGAAAGGATAAGTTATTCCTTCCCCCCTCCTGATTCTATTTGGAATGCAGCTTCTTGCTAATTTGCACAAAGGCTTTAAAGCAAGCTCAAAAACAGCAATAAACAAATGTCCCCAATCTAAATAGACTTTACTGTATGTTCAAACTACACTTCGTTGCTTGAACTGCTTTCATTAAAGAACTTTATTTTTCTTTCTTTCAAAGTGCCACTACCAAACAGAAGATATAGCCAAGACAGTACATCTGACAGCTTTGCAAGCTGTGCCACCCTAGCAGCAAATAGCAGATACAAAGAAGAGAGCTATGATTCCACCATTATAAAGCACAGCAACAAAATGGAAAGCCGAATATATCCAGCACATCATCATCTCATTAAAGAAGAAAATAAGCTAGTTTTCAATAGAGGTGTACAAGATAAAAACAACTTAAGTGAAAAGCCCTTTTCGAACTCCTTAGCCAACTCTTTTTTGTCAAAATCTGAATGTTTCCAAACTAAATCTATTGGACAGTTAAATCACCTTCTCCCAGTTCCAACAGTATATGAACAAACAAGAAGAATTTGTATGAAAGAACCAAAATTTGAGCACATTGCCCATCATGCTGCAAATCTAGGTGAGATGGAACCTGATGACAGAATGACCGGAAAGTTTGATCATGACTCTGAAAACGACCACACTGTGGATGTTAGGCATGCAGGGCAAGTTCCATTTGTACTTCTCAACTACCACCGGGTTTTAGCCAAACATGGCACATTTCAAACTTCTTCGTGTACTGCCACAGGACATGTAGCAGAGAATTATGGGCACAGTTCTGAGGAAGTAAACATGTTTTACAAAAACCAAAGTCCTTCATCAGCCTCTTCCCCTGAGGCTCACAAGGAGCCTGCACTTCCCCATTATATTGGAACGTCTGTAATAATAGCCAATGGAAGGTGACAGTAATAGAAAGCTGTGGTATATAAAATAAATAAATAAATAAATAAACTGGAATAGTTCCCCTGAAGCATGAGGATACATGGTTGCACTTAGTGAGCATGGTTTAAAATCAGTGGGACAAACTTGCATGCATTCTTGGCAAGCCATGTGTAACAGTACCTTTAAGGTCAAGGGGAAAAAATTACTGGTAGCTTCAGTGCTTTGTTGTTCCAGATTAATCTCTGCAGTTGACTCTGCTAGTAAGAAGCCATGTAACAGATCATATTTTTGTTATTTTTACAGTATATAAGTTAAATTATAAGAGTTTATGTGCTGATACATAGTGACTTTGTTTTCTTAAAAAATACAATCCCTCAATTATTTGAAAATTATAGATCACTTAACAAACGGACAGTCTGGTAAGAGACAGTAATTACCAGTTATTTGTGATAGTCTCTGTTTAACTGCCGTCCAATGCATTACCTTGGGGACATGCATTTAGGATTTCAATCCCTGAAATTAAACCATTTTTTTTATTCATGTGGCTTGGATATATATTACTCAAGGCAGTATAGAATTGCCAGGCTGCATGGCTACTATGCATCTTTAGAAAATGAAAATCTACTTGCCCAATAAGCTTGGAGATAACTACCAAAGAGCTGCTGATTGTTACACTGTAGGGGGGAAAAAAAATCAAAGCATCTATTTGAAAATGGAAGACAAAGGTTTTCACTGTTTCAAATACACTTTCCATTTAGAATATATCCCAAACTGTATTTGTTGCCAGCCAAAGAGGAGTGAAGTTGCATTCTCTTCATTTTGCTCTGTCAATGAGACTTCAAATCATTTCTGTTTGGTGGATTTACGTTTTTAGCCCAGCCAGTTTTAGCAACTTTTATGGTTAAGATATGATAAAATACATTCACCAACTGCACTAATGATTAGATGAGAATTCTCAGGCACTTACATTTTATTTTGCATTTTTCGTAGAGCACGTAGTATATTCATCTTTGGCTTTGTAATGTTTAATCTGGAAGTTGAGGCAACCCAAGTACCTGCAAAGATTTAATACCATAAATATATAGCTCTCCTGTGTTCCAGTTTTCTGTGGTTTAATAAAATCATAAGCAATAGCACAAAAGAATACACATGCAAAGTTGTTTGTGCTATCCAGTTAAATGGGGGAAGCTCTTGTGTACATGTGGTGGGTGTGTATACACATGAAGGTTGTTTTGCACACTAGGAGTTACAAGAATGTGGTTGTCATTTTAACATAACTAATAAACCATTTATCATCTTACTCAATCACAGAACAGAAGGCACCCTAATATGTAAAAAGCTTATGTATAAAAATGATTGGCATTAAAGAACATTAACACTGGAGTCAGACGTATATTTTAATTTGACTAGTTTTTCTTAGCTTTGCTGAACTCTGAGTTACATCAAAAACTTCTAAAATGTCCCTCAGACAAGTGAAGTTTTCATTAGAAGCATGGAAGAACTTCTGGAAGCAAATAACAGTTTTGCCGTTGTTTTGAGTATAGACAGAACCAATTTAAGAATATTTCTCCAAGAAATAATATATAATTTAACTTGTGCAATATGGAAAACAGCTTTGATTGCACCTTTTCAAATCTCAACTAAGTTGAAAGGTAATGAGGACATTTTCTTAAACTATTTTTCTGCATTTAGACGCAGCAATACAATCCATTTCCTTGTCTAATTTTATAAGGCTATTTGTTACTGTAAGGAAATAAGCTTTTCAAAAGTGATTGGTTGTGCTCAGTATTGCCCTATTTAAAGTTAACCATTGTGAGCATGCACATTTTTTAGTAGTGCCAAAGCAGTGTACATTAGAATTCAGACTTAACCTGTGCCTTGAGTTGAAGCCAATAGTTCCCAAAATGTAAAAATAGGCTTCTCCCATAGGTGCTAGGCACCTTGCCTTCAGCCCATTGTTCACCATGACTAATATGTTTCATCTCTAGTGCTTTCTTGCACATGTTTGTTTGTTTGTTTGTTTGTTTGAATGGCCTTGTTCATTCCCTCTTGTGCTTGATCTTTCAGGCTGAGAAAAAAGTGTGTGCTTCCAGGTGAACTGGCTACCATTCTTTGGTCATAGTTACTTTTGGATAAATGCTTAGAGTATTTTATGAATTGGAAGGCTCAAAATTGCATTATTTTGAATGGTTGTTAAGATAAAGGGAACTTCACATTTACAGTTTGGGCTCTAGCCTCATCTTTGTAATATTCACCACACTGCACTAAGAGGTGTCTGACACATCCTTTGCACAGTGCTAATTGTTGTAGAACACATTTCAATACCTTGACTACAAAAAGCTGCTGCTTGGTGGTGTGTCTTCTAGACATAAGGATAAGGGATCACTGTGTACATGAATATAAGATCCAAACTGCACATGTGAAATCCTTGGTTGAATTCAGATTTAAAGGTAGTGTTTGACTGTATATTATTCAGTTTGAGTTTAAATGGTTTGGAGCTTGTGGTTTAATTCAGTACTCCCAAGTCAGGATGAATATTTTAGGAAGTAAGATTGCCTGGATTTTTTTGAGGGGGGGCCATTAAGATAAAAAAAAATTTAGAAAGGAGGGTGAAAACACAAGCCCTAATCCACACATCACTTGCAAGTAAAACACACACCTAGTACAAACTGCAAATAAGGCTCCTGTTTGTAATTCTGAAAATCCATCATTGTTTGTGTGTTCATCAAAATCGCATCCTTTGCTGATAGCTCAAGTGTTAAGAACATGCATAAATTATCTGGGCAACAAACTTGCCAGAGACTTAATTTTATAGTTAAATTGGACTAATGTACTTAGAAGGATGGAAGTGAACTTTCCCCCCTAACAGCCAAACAAAAATATCCTTCCAGATGCCCAAGGTAAATTCTGTGAATGTTGATACCTTTTCTGATGTAATTGATATTGCTGAAAACAGCAGCAGCACTCTTAACTTGTCTTCATAGAAAGGAGCTTTTGTGAATGATCTTATCATGATGTCATTACACAATTCTATTGCCAGATGCAAGTTTGTTTACAGTCTTTCAAAGTGTTCATGCAGATGTAATCCTGAAAGAATACATTTATGCCAAATAACATTTGTTTATTTTGCTACGTGAAAAAAATGTATTCCCCAATGAGATACAGGCAATTAGCTGACTCATAAAAAGAAATCTGATACACAACTGCAGTGTAGCATACTTACTTTATTTTCTTCAGAGTGACTGTATATATGCTAAGCCTCCTTCACTTTGTAAGAAAGAAAATATTTCTGAAAAGAACACTTTTTAAACTGTTCAATTGCCCAGTGTCATTTAGGTAATGCTGTTGACGATAAGCAGTTTCAAATAATTAACAACCTGCCACTAGCACAATGTATAAATTACCTTAGGCATTTTAAAGTCCTATCCACAGAGGGGACTCAAGGATGCACATGCCTGCTCTGGCCCTTCACTTCTGATCTTCCTGGGAAGGCCTGAAGAGGACTTGTAAGCACATTTTTGTTTATGAGCTTACAGTGCTCCCTGCAATCAGGCTTCCTAAGAATTGGAACCCTTTTCAGCTCAATGTACTTGCAGTCCCTCTGCAGACCTTCCCAGTCATGAGGGGTGAGGCTGCCACATGCAGCCCTTCCCTCTCACGATGGATAGAACTTTAAAAATCCTGAATAGTGCCTGAAAACTGGATGTATCATTTACATGCAATGGAAGTGCAGGGAGTGGGACACCCCCCTTTTCACTTTGCCATTTCTCTTCTTGATTATGAACTATAATTAATGAACTATAATTACCTATCACCAGTGCTTTTTTTCTAAAAAAATGTTTAAGGGTACTCTCGTTTTGAGTCAAGAAAATCAACATTTTATAGTTAAAATCGGGAAAAATAAATACAATAAATGGATAAAAGTACAAAGATTCACAAAACGTTTAGGTGTATGTGTACCCCTGTGTCCCCCCAGAAAAAAGCCTATCACTGTACTTTGTAGGGTTCTATACACTTCGTAAGAAATAGTAAAAAATGGAGTTGGGAAATGTAACTCTCAGTTTTGTATCTTATGAGTAGAAATGCCACACACACACCTAGTACAAACTGCTCTGCTGAGTACAATTGTGCAGATTTCCCCCACATCAATCTACTTTGGTTAAAAAGCTCAACTTTGCAGCAACAAACCAGTGAATAATTTTAAGATGCATAACCCTATGCATGTTTACTCAGAAGTGAGTCTAGCTATGTTCAGTGGGGCTTGCTCACTAGTAAACAGGTTTAGGATTTGAACTTCATATTCATAAGGACAGCATTGAATGAATTAATAAAATTCCTACTATAATTTTACTTGTCCAAAATCACAATACAGTTTTTTGAGCTAGTTTCTTGAGAGAAAACTCTTCTGTTTGTTCCTCTACTGGAACATTAGATTTTGCTTTTTTATGATGCAAAAATAAATTATTTGACAAAAGTATGTGGAAAAAGAAATACATACACATCCTACTATTGCTTAGGGTTATATATCTACTCCCTTAAATTGTAAAGCTTTTGCTTATTTATTACGTAAGACTATGTTAAATAAAATACTGTAGACAAAGGAATAATGGACTTCTATTATTTGCTTGTTTTAGAAGTACAGTACAAATAATGTATATTTATAAAATATGTTTAATGTTTATTGTATTTTTAATATTACATTGACCAATTTAGGTAATTCAATGAAATGAAATACGTCATTTGTTTTCCTCACTGCATAGCAGTTCTAGAAACAGACAGAATGTTAGGGCTTATTCAGAACTTTTGAATGTAATTCTATTGATACTTAATTAAATGCTCCCACCACCGCACTTATTCCCATCCTCAACTCAAGCTATGATGGAACGAAGTTGTATTAAGTATAAAAAATGAAGCCATGTTGGTCCGTGAGAAAAAAAAGAGAGTTAGGCAATACCTTTAGGACTAGCCAAAATGTCAAAATAGTGAGCAAGCTTTTAGGTTCTTCAGAATTCTCGTCAGACTGGATGTTAAACAAAGTTGACTTCAAGTTGCAGCTAAGCACACAATGGTTCATCCCTGTTTTTTCAAAACAAAAAACCTAAATCAGTTTCCATTCTTAGACAGAACACCAACACTACTTCCATTGCTTTTTATGTGTTACCACAGAGCCTATAAGGGACGTGGGTGGCGCTGTGGGTTAAACCAGAGCCTAGAACTTGCCATCAGAAGGTGGGGGGGGGTGAGCTCCTGTTGCTCAGTCCCTGCTCCTGCCAACCTAGTAGTTTGAAACCACGTCAAAGTGCAAGTAGATAAATAGGTACCGCTCTGGCAGGAAGGTAAACGGCATTTCCATGCGCTGCTCTGGTTTCACCAGAAGCAGCTTAGTCATGCTGGCCACATGACCTGGAAAAACTGTCAGCGGACAAACGCGGGCTCCCTTGGCCAGTAAAGCGAGATGAGCACCGCAACCCCAGAGTCATTCGTGACTGGACTTAACTGTCAGGGGTCCTTTACCTTTAGAATACCCTATTCTGGAGTAGAATCCTAAAACTGGAGAAAGATTCGCTTCTATCACTTGAAGAAGGGGCTTTGTTACAGGGCTTTCTCTCCAACTATTAATACTGTTGTAGTCAATTTGCTGTGCATTGACTTCTTTGTTTATCTGAGTGCACCACTTAAGAATAATCTCCGGCTTTATAGTTAATATAAAAATTGCCTAGTTTCTCAGTATATCTGCTTGCCACCTTACTAAAGTATCTGTTGAATCTAATGATGGAGAAAGGTCTGGGTAACAACTGGACTTTATATTTTCAGAAATGGGGTTCAACCACTGTATGTTTCTTTGTCCCAGCAGTCCTAGACGCAACTTAACATGCATAATACCTAGTACAGCCTTATCTAATTAAGTTTGCTAACCCCTTCCACAGTCCATGTTAAGACTGCAGACTCCACAACTTCAACAGCAAACAAGTTTCCCCCCTCTTCTCCATTTCCGTTTAACAACCATCATAAAGGCTTGCTTACCATTTTGCAACATTCAGGTTGGTCCGAATGCTATTGCTGCAGATGGATTTAACACCAAAAGGACTTCCAAACAAAAGATCAAGTTTACTTTTCCCTTGAAAATGCTAGAATGGCAGTCTTTAGTTTTACAAGACTGTGCAGTGCATCTCTGCAACAGTACAAACCTTTGACAGTCCCAAGTTTGCTTGTGGGTAGGTGAAGAAGTATCTGGCAAGGCAAAAAAAGAAGAGGAACAAAGTTCTGAGGTAGGAGGAAAGAAGTGCCTACCTTTCTACCGTTCCTGTAATCGCTACTGCAGCAGTCACAAAGGAATTGATCAAGAAGGTGAAGTTCTTAGGTGTGTGCTACGGCTGTGCAGATAGTCTTTCGTGCCAGAATGTTACCAGCTTGCTCTAGAAGTTCCAAATATTAATCTACACCTGGGGAGAACAGAAAGGCAAGACTGCACAGAGACTACAAAGAACTGCTATATCCTGCTTTCCACACGATATATTGTTTAACAGCACTTCTATTGGCAGCTATGCAATGTATAAATATTCCCACCAACTAGCTTCAAAAATCTGAACTATGACGAAACAAAACTATGAACTTGTACTTTATAACCCTGAAATCAGTTTAAAAAGAAAAAAATTCCTGCAGAAGGAAAGCATGATCTATAGCATAAACACACCATGCGTTAAAAAAGATAACCGAGGCATAATAACTTGCTACGACGTATTCCAAGGTGTTATGGAGGCTTATAGATGACTAATGCCAGTTTATTCTTAGTTCTGAGTACCTAACCTGGTGGAAATTGTGTAATTCTGGAAAGGTCATCAGTTCTGTCTGGATGCAATTCACCTCGTTCTTTTCAAATACTAGCACACCAGAGTTCCTTAAGAAGCCTTACTGTCAATAAATAATCTGTACAGATATTTTCTTAATATGTAACGAGGAGTTTTAAAACTTTGGTCCGGAAGAAAAGTGCATATTGCAAAAAAATATGGGCACCATAATGAAATATTTTTGAAAGCACTTCATCTACAGAACAGTCTGAAAGACGACATCAGCTACACAGTGGAAAAGGTGTTTTACTAACCTGGACATTTTAATAGTATTGCACATTTTCAGAGGCTACTTCTGGATTCCAGGATGCCTGGCTGGCTCCTCCAGACTCTGTCCAGACACATTTTGCTATGTTATAAAGTCACAAGGACTGTTATAAAATGGTTTTCATACAGAAATGGTGAGTAGTTGCCAAATTTGATGTGGAAAACAATGTGATTACCAGCTGTACTACCCATGCACACCTTTACTTGTGTGTCCTATAGAAAGTCCTGCAGGCATTTCTGACTGCAACAGCTGTGAGTCAGAAAGGCCTTATTCAGCTGTTCTGAAGCAAACTGTCAGGTATATGACAGTTTACAATTGATGCTGACACCCCCCCCCCTTCATTCAAGACAGTATGTTGTCTTGTATATACAGGGCAGGCCATTCAAAAGCAGAAGTAAAAGTGATATTCCCACCTAATCCACTTGTGCTTCAACATGTCCACACTTCATTACTTTTCATTTACAGAAAGGAAATTAAATGAAAGAATTTTCCCAGTGCAAAAAACTGTAATATGGTTTGAAATAAAACAAACCATAGGTTGTTTTTACTTTAACAAAGGTTTACATTCTTTATTATCCAGGTAAGAAAATCTTATGTCTTATTCAAATTTCTACCCCAATTTTCTACACAATAAATTCAAAGCAGCTTACAAAAAAACATACCATATATATAAACTACAAAATAATTCAATAATGTATATTAAGAAGTAACAGTATAAATATATAGCAAGATAAAATGATAATAATAGGCCAAGCAATTAGTCTAGTACCAAATACCAGTAGAAGCAAACAGCTCTGTAAAATGCAAGCAATGATGGAGCTTGGCAGATCTCCCATAGGAGGCATTCCAGGTCTAAGTACCAGCACAGAAAAGGCCTTGTCTCTGATGCCCACCCATCATCTAATTATAATGGGGCACAGAGCAGGGTGTCTGTTGTTGATCTTAAGCTACAAGCAGGCTCATGTGGGAGAGGACAAGCTTCTTTAGTACTTTAAAGGTTAAAACCAACGCTTTGAATTTGGCTTGGAAACAAATTGGTAACCAGTATAAGTAGGGTATAAAGAGTAGCTATAAAGCCCAACTAAAACTCTAGCAGATGGAGCTTGGCCCAACTATTTTCAAAGGTAGCTCTATGTAGATTGCATTATTGTTATCTAATCTAGATATAATTCTTTGATTAACAGATATTTTTGCTGATTTTTCCAAAAAGAAACAAATATAGTCAAACAATACAAAATCAAGTTTAATAAATTAAGAAAATGTGTTCTGTGCATACATGAAAAAGGAGGAGCGGAAGAAGGGGAAAATCTAGACCAACCACATGCTCAGTCACTCAGGCAAACAGAAGTCAATACAGCAGAGAACTGTCCATCTTTCACATTGTTATGGAAGGTCACCTTGTATAATTAAGGCATGAATGACAAAGGCCAGAACAAGCTTCACTAGGAAAAGGAGCAGCAGGCACACCACCTAAAGCTAGTAAAAAACACTCTTTGCCATTGCCATCCAGACATGCATGGTAACAAGTGAGGAGGTCTCCAAGAGCATCTCAAAGACCACCTCTCGCATCAACAAGAACCCTGTCCTGTCCTGAGAGCCCAGCACCTGATGTAAATCTTTGGCATCAGTTGATTGCTGGACAGGCTGCTATGAAAAGGAAAGTGGAAGATGGACCCCTTCTCCCCAGCCATTGAATATATATTGCTGCTGCACCAATAATTCTCAGGACACCATAGGAAGAGATTAGGCCTGTCCCTTTCATCCAGCCCAACCTTGGTAATGAATGCCAGGTAGATACCAAATTCTATATGGTAGCTGTTTTTTTTCTGTTCACTGGTATAGTATTCAGTAGCAAAACAATTAGATCTGATGGACTGCCAGATGACACAATAGCATGAAGTTATCCCTTCCCTCATCTGTCTGATCTTTCACTGCTCCAAATAACATCAATAGTGATGTTGTACCCTACATTTTCTCAAACACATACTAAAAACCAGGGCGGAAATTAATAAGTGAAAGGGGCAGAATTAAATGAAGAACAAGCTTTAGAGAACCTTTCAACAATTAAATTTCACTGATCCTGTCTCCAAATTCAACACCTCTTTTTTGAATTTACCCTCCTGAATAATTGTGAGCAATCTTGGCTGTCATGTATAATCAAACTACCCTACATTATTAAAATGGTGTATACTGTGAAAAGTCATAAGCTTTTCACAGTAGGAACATGTTTGCAAGATGTCAGGTAGACACTGGGGAGTGGATTGCTGTGCGACTTGGGATGAAGGTTCAGACTGAACAATGAAGTGGCACAGCCCTGCTCTGTTAATTTGGCAGCTAACAGGTAAGAAGTATGAATCATACATTTAAAAGCTCCTGAGGTAGGACAATAGGACAGAAGGATTCCACAAGCAAATAAAAATAAAAATTGAATACCAAATACATTGCTGGAGTTTCCATTTATTTTATTATACTAACTCAATCTTAAGGATCACTGGAGTTATTAAATCAATAATAATAGGAGCTTTGAATTCCTAGTCCCAGAGAGTTTTGCAACTCATTACTTCTCACCCTTAGTTCTTTGAACAAATAATCAATATAGAGCCACTCAAATAAGCTAAATTGTTTTACTTTTTCATTTGTTAGATAACAATGCCATCAAGCAAGAAACAGTCATAGATGTCACAGTGTGGGAAACATTATGCAACAGAAGTCAAAATCCTCATTTTAAATGAAATGAAAACTTAATCTCCAGTAATTTATAGTCAAACTACTCAAGACTCCAATATGCAGGGATTATGCTAATCCACCATTACAGGCCAACTTCTTTGCTTTCTTTAAGGCTTCTTGGATTTATATTTGAGCCAATCTACTTATTTCCTGATTCTTTATAAAGTGAACTTTAACCTACAAACCTGCTTCTGGCTACATGTCAGGCATGCATTTCAGGGCACTTTCTTAACGTAACATGAGGGAGTCCTTTAGAACCCATGTCAGTTCTCATTAGAAGGTCATGTTACCAACAGTTCCCCAATATGCAGAAATTGGTTTCAAACTATAAGCCTGGGAGGGCTGGGTTGAGAGTGAGTTCCATAAGCCTAGGCAGCCTAGTCCAGAAACACAGTCATACACCTAGGAACCTCTGAGAACAGTGCAAGAAGCTGAACGTATCATCTATTCATCAGTATTTGGCATCTGATCATAAAAATGATCAGAGTGATCAGAGGACCATACTGAGTAGGCGAGATGACACATAATTATGTATCATACACTATGTTATATTTAATGCATAAGGCACAATAGATAATACAGGAAAATAGGTTCTGCTGTAGCCATTAAAGCAGAAACACTTGTCGGATTCATAATCCAAGGAAAATGCAAAATAGCACTATGAACTTGAAACATACTTCCAAGCAATTCAGATTCTGTATAGTCTTATAGGAATCGGGGCAACTGCCAGAAATCTATTGTTAGAAAAAATAACAATTAGTGGTCAGTTGTGGAAACATCAAGCTTCTGAAAGACTTGGACTCCCAATATAACACAGCATCTGGAGAGACCTTACTAAAAGGCTAAAATTCGTTTTGATCATTGTTTTGTGGGTATGAGACAGCAGGAGGGGTAAAATTCTTTAAATAATTTTATGGCATACTCTAAAACTGATGTTCAAAATGAATAATATAACTTCATTTTGCATATAGCTGTTCATCCACAACTTAAAAACAAAACACCATAATAAACCGGGGCATTGGTAAACCAAACTTATTATACCCTATCGTTTTAATAGAGGAAATATTCTACTGCAAAATGCATTCCTTCCTATAGATACAAAGTAATATGAGCACTGGATGTAAAGGTATACTGTAAGTGCAAGCGTGAAGAATCTGTAGTAACAGGATAACACAGATTTATGGAGCTAATTCTACTTGAGTGTTCCATGCCAAAAATTAGAAGCTAGAGCTTTTCATGCTGACCATAAGGTTTCCTTCACATCTGCATGGAGACTGAAAGGAAAACAAACAAACAAACATGAAAAGCCACTAAATCCCAGGTCACTGGGCCAAGAGCCCAGGAAAATTAAATGACCCAAAATTCAATGTTTTCCTTGGTATACAGTGTTTCAATTCTTCAGATTAGATACTTCTAGTCTGACAGTCTCCAGCCAAACTCTAGAAAATGGTCTGAGAGAGAAGCTGTTTCACCATATTCAAAAACTACTGCTGTTTTGGAATTATCAGGTTTCTCAGCATATCAAAAGTATTGCCATCTGGGTGCACGGTTACTACATCTTTGCCTTCCTCATGAACTTGAAGGTATCCGGAATCATCTATTCCAACGATCCACGCTAAAGGCCCTTCATCACTTCCAAGCCGTACTTGTTTACCACTGCAAATAAAAAACAAGGAATTACCCCCTTTAAAAAGCCATCAAGTTTCATAAACTCACCTCAGTCTAGTTATAAATGTTACATAAATATGTAAAAGACTTTGGTATTTTAGATATTGATATTAAGTTTAAAATGTTTTTATACTGATTGGAAGATGCTTCGGGAAAGTTTTGAAAAATGATGTAGAAATCCTTGAATAAAATTAAGAAATGAATGATTTCCCCATCTAAACAGAGGGTTTTAACCAACTTTGAATAGACAAAAGGAAATAAATGGATTAATGAAATTCATATAAATTATAAATGGCACTGTACGAGAGATAATTCTTCAGAAAGGCACATGGATTCTACATAGCTTACACACAATAGGGTTTTACTGACATGGTCTACCATCATAATAAACAATGTCAGTGGGAATTTCCTGCACCCATCCATTCATAGGTAGACTTGCTTAACTATAGTAAAATTAATCTGCTTCTTCTCAGATATTCTGCAAAGCTCAGACTTCATGATCCATGTCTAGCACGTTAACTCAAAATGCTAGGTAAATGTAGCTTTAAGGAACAACTCCAATGTAAACAATCTGATATATTTTAATGCATGGGTGCTGAATGACAAATCTGCCTATGCATAAACAAATACTTCTAACACATGCTGAAAAATTGAAACATGTTAAATGCATGCATATATATACATATATATATCTGATCAGTCACTATTGGTTTGAGATAAATGCCTCTTGATGGGGTTAGTTCAATTTATCACTAAAACAATTAAGATTAAGAATATTAAGAAGGAAATTTTATTTTATGTTGTTGGTCTTTATGTTGTTCTTTATTACTTGTAAAAGAAAAATAAGTATTATTTTAAAAAAAGATATAGAATATATATTTTAAATTATTTACCTGTGCACCCAGTACTTATAGTACATGGGAAGAACTCCATTAGGTCCTTTCTCTTGAAAGGTGTTGATCAGACTTTCCAGCACTGTCACACTTCTTGCAATCAGGTAATCTGCACTTAAGGGCTTTAATTCTGTATTCTTTGTCTTATTGTGCTCCATAATGAGATCATTGATGCATATAGTGGGGTTGCTGTTATTCACGTTAAATCCACAGCCTGGGGAAGAAAAATATATTAGAAAGGCAGTGTAGGAAAAGTTTTGTTTCTCTGAAAAAGTCTCTTTGTACCATAAGACAAATCCATTCCTTCAGACAGCTGTAAAAATCCATCTACAGATTTCCTGAAGAGATTTGCTTTAAATAATGATGAAAGATGACAGAAGCTCATATAAACTCAAATCCATCTCATGTGCTAAATACAAGACAGCCTGGCTCAGCCTCATGACAGTGCTTGATGGTTTTTTCCTCCAATGAAAGCTAGTTCAGTCCAGGACAATCCACATCCAGACATGCAACTTTGGAACAATCTTCATTTAAAACAAAGAACAGTTCTGTGCAGTAAAATTGCCAAATAATATATTTTGTCAGTTTTTATGTGACAGAACAATACTGTCTGTAGACGGCAGATGTCCCATCCCACCACAGTGAGTTTTTGTGGGTATGGAAACTGCCCCACCTACAAGGGCTGCCCTGCTAAATTTTGATGGAGGAAGTCGAGCTGCATACACTGTTTGGTGTGCATGTGTAGATGTGCTCTTTAGGTTGAAATTTATGGGCCATCTCATGCATACACACATGGCTCAGCATACAGGCAAGAGAGCATTAATTGGAAAAAGAAAGATGCGGCTATAAAATGCTATATTTTACCATTTTAAAAACTTGCATTTCCCCCAGCTCCAGGGCAGCAACTGGCTTCTTTGAGAAAAGCCTAGAGGATTCCACATTTAAGTCAACTTTCAGCTTTCAAGGGCTCTCTTGCCAGACTCTCTTTGAAGCTTCATTTCTCACCCAGCTCTCTAGCAGGGGATAGTATTATTGGCAGAAAGCCAGGGTGTTTAAATGCAGCTCTCAGGGCTTTCTTGATCAGGCCTCCTAAACATAGCTCTGCGAAATGTACACACCAATCTTGTACTACCTGTTTATTTTCCTCCCTTTCTGAGCAATGTAGGTTTTCCATTCCCTGTGCATGTGATGGCAGAGCCAGGCTTGTCAAGTATACTCACATTTAAATGTCCTATTTTTGAAACCATTACTTTAATAATTTATAAGTAATATACCTATTAAATATGGAAATAATTATTTGGTAGTATTCATAAATTGATCTGAAGAGGATTAGTTACCTTGACATTTAAGAAGGGTGGAGTCAGGAATCAAATCCATATTATAAAATTTTAGAACATTCTCTGTTAACAAAACCCACAGACTGAAATAGGATTTTAGGAGTGCGCCTATAAGCACTGAAGTGAAACTATAATATTCTCAATAGTGTATTTTCCATGTTAGTTTTATCCAAGACGTTTTCTGGTGTGTGTGGAGAACATTGTGAATGCTGTTAATGGATATGGGCTTAACAAAATGTTAAGCAACTATCTACTGCAGGATGAACACTGTGAAAGTCATGGATCTCAAAGTTCTCCCACCTGGATCATCTTGAACATTATCCCTGTTCCAAATGAGATCGCACTGAGATGCATTCTTCATACTGTTTATGAATGAGTATTGCTGCCACCATCTCCTGAAGCTTCCTAACTTTGAAGCAAGAGATACTGAGAGTAGGTCTGCAGATTGCTCTAAGTCTAGACCTGATTCTGTTATTCCTATTTACCTATCCTTTAAAGCACACAACATGGACACTATTTATTTAATAATCAAGGATTCTTGATTATGCCTCTCCTCCCATGACTGAACAAATCAATAATTTATCCTGCAAGCTGAAAGCAGGGAGTCAGATAACAATCCATTAAGGACCAGGTGAATCACGGCCACATTTATTTTGCTATGTATTTGCATTATCAATAGCAGCAAAAATGCCTAAAAACAAACAAACAAACAAATATATTTTAAACCATTTATGTTCTTACCAATAAGAATGTGGAATGTATCTCCTGTTAGTGTGGAATTCACTAAAACGCCACCCAGCTTCATAAGGTCACTATAGTAAATATCGTTTGGCCATTTCACTCGAAGCTCAATATCCTAGGGAAACCAACATGTATATTTATAGCTCTATATTACTGCATCCCAAAGCAGCATGGTGTTAATCCTTTGTCTAGCGCTTCCTGTTCTCCAAATATTTAATACTGACACTGAATACACAAATGAAAACTTAGCAGCATCTCTCTCTCTCTCTCTCTCTCTCTCTCTCTCTCAAAGTTACCCACAAAGAAGCAAAAGCCCACAATGAATTGGGACACAGATCAAAACACTAGTCACTTACCTTCAAGGTTTGTTCTTGGCCCCTGGTGAGTTATAATAACTCCTGTTTGATGGGAAACATGTGACCCTGGAGCTTTTTCTCCCTAACATCTCATTTTCAGACTAGCAGAACCACTTAAAAAATAAACAGACATATGGAAAAGACAAAAAGAGAGAAGAGCCCTGATCCTGAATGTGATCTGGATGCACTGAGTGGAGCTGTGGGCAGCCACCTGACTTGGATGCCTTTGCAAGAAGGTATGTTGTGGAAGAAACCAATGTCCCATTCTCCTGCTGGATGCAGGAGGTATCCTGCAGGCGGGATACATAAAAACTGTTGCTTTCCTGCAGTGGGTAGATGACTGCTTCAGCACTTGAGGGACAATGTGCATAAAACCCTACCCCCAAAGCTCCATACCATCTAAACTGTGCTGTCATGTCAATATGTTTGTTGAGTGGCATGTGGCTGTTTGGCATATTTCAGGTATGGGTGCATTGGTTTACAGAGCAACACAAGTGGCAGCTGCCCAAGTGGAATGAGCTGTGATGTGAAACAGAGTTGCTAAAGAAGGCTTCCTCAACCTTGGCCCACCAGATGTTTTTGGCCTACAACTCCCATGATCCCTAGCTAGCAGGACCAGTAGTCAGGGATGATGGGAATTGTAGTCTCAAAACATCTGGAGAGCCAAGGTTGAGTAGCCTGTGCTAAAAGATGGGCCTCATAACCAACAACTTTTATCCACCTCACCAGAGATGAAGTAGAGACTTTTCTACCTAGTGTGGTAGTACAGGCTGCCCATTTATCTGAATGTTACTGTGTTCTGGATGTAGGTTTTGAGTCCCCATCTTGACATCTAGCATGTACAGGTATATTTAGTGGGGTAAAAAGTTTTGGAACATGTAGGGCTAGCTTCTGATGGAAGGTATATTGAGTTCAGTCAACCTACTTGTTGGGGTGATAGCAATGAAGAAATCTGCCTTAAGGAACAGGAGGCAGAGAGACTGAGGAAGCAGAGGGGCTGTGGGAGAACATAGAAGACCATGTCCATTCCAGGAGAGAAACCTGTGGATGACCAGAGGGCTTCAAAGAGATGCTCCCTGAAGGAACCTCTTAAATACTGGATGGGAGCACAGAAGTCTGTCCTGGATAGAACTGATGACAAAGAAAAAGACTTGACATTTCAGTGTATTTGGCTTCAGATCAAGTATAAGGTCTGATTGGAGATCCTTTCTTCAGGAGAATGTTCAATAAACAGGTAATCTGAAAGAACCTGTAATGTGCTATATTAAGACACTGGATGGTATCAGTATTGTGCAAAGTCAGTGGGACCAATGTCCTTTGCTCTCCCCTGCACACCTGGAAAAATAGTTGTTGAACTATTTGAACAAAGATCCAAGTGCACTAATCTAGAGATTTATTTATGAAAAGTTACTGAATATATCAGATAAAACAACAAAAAAGTACAACAGACTTCTAAAGGGATGATTTGCTATTCAGTTGTACTGTGTCAGACAACTAATATATTTACGAGATTGAATCATAGGCGCCGACTCCATGGGGCTTGAGGGGGCCCGAGCCCCCTCAAAAATTCGTTTGGGGGGGCTCAGCCCCCCCAATAATCTCGGGCGGCGGTGGGCGCCTCCGCGGCTTTTATAGGGCGCCCGGCGCGCACCAGCTCGATAACGGGCACCGGCGCGGCGGGGGGCGCCGGGCCGGGGGAGGGGGGCGGGCGGCCTGTCTCCTTGGCAACCCCATTGAGCAGCGCCGGCTCCCCCGGGAGGGCCATCGCCCCGCCCCGCTGATCGCCAACACCGCCGACGCTGTGGCTGCCCGAGCCCGAGCACTGAGCCCGAGCCCGACCCAGAGCCCGACCCCGAGCCTGAGCCCGAGCCCAAGCCCGTCAGGAAGGAAGGAAGGAGAAATGGGGAGGGAGACGAGGGAGGAAAATTGCGCGCAGGGTGAAGAAAGGAGAAGGGCGAACGAGACGAGCTTCCAACCCAAAAAAGGGCTGGAAGACTGGGAGGATGCAGGATCGGGAAAGAAAGCAACGCCTTCCCCGCCCGCGACGTCGCCCGCTTGTCATTGGCAGCGCAGCGGGCGCCCAGAGGGGCTGGGCACCGGCGCAGGGCCGCTCCGCAGCCGCGGAGGACAGCTGCGCGGCTAGCAAGGTGCGCCGCGTAGAGCGCGGCCCTTGTGTGGCCCGGTGGCCAGGCAAGCTCGGGCGGGGACCCCCATGCGAATCTAAGACGGGAGAAGAGGGCAGAGCAAAGGGGGTCCCTTCCCCAACCTCCGGCTCTGAGACTTCCCTGAGCCCCAGAAAAGCGAAAGGATTTTCTCTTCTTCTTTTTTTATAAATATTAAGTTTTCAAATACAAAGTTAGAAACATACACTGAAGAAAAAAGGAAAAGAACAAGAAAAAGAAAAAAAGAAAAAGAAGAAAAGAAAACCAACCATTCAACACATTTTTTATATAACTAACTGGACTTCCTCGCATCTCCCTTACCCTGCATTCTTTATAATAAAGATATCAGCAAATTATTACCTTGTTTCGTACCTTATTTTGTACTTTTCAAATACTATACCTCTAAATTTAACATACTTTTCATCAGTTACTTATATCTTAAATTAAACATAGTATTACCTTAGATTTTGACCTTTTCTTACTTAAAATATAATTTCCTGTTTCCCAAATCTAATTGCTGAAGCTATAGTTTCCGAATCGTGTAAATTTTTAACATTCATACAACTTATATTGTTTTTGTAAATAGTCCTTAAATTTTTTCCAGTCCTCTTCCGTTGTTTCTTCTCCCAAATCTCGGATTCTGCCAGTCATTTCAGCCAGTTCCATGTAGTCCATCAATTGCGTCTGCCACTCTTCCAGTGTGGGCAAATCTTGTGTCTTCCAATATTTTGCGATAAGTATTCTTGCTGCTGTAGTTGCATACATAAAGAAAGTTCTATCCTTCTTTAACACTTTCTGGCCAACAATGCCCAAGAGGAAGGCCTCTGGTTTCTTGGGAAAGGTATACTTAAATACCTTTTTAAACTCATTATAGATCATTTCCCAGAAGGCCTTCACTTTTGGACAAGTCCACCAGAGGTGAAAGAATGTCCCTTCAGCCTCCTTACATTTCCAACATTTATTATCAGACAGGTGATATATTTTTGCAAGCTTGACTGGGGTCATGTACCACCTATAAATCATTTTCATAATATTTTCCTTCAAGGCATTACATGCCGTGAATTTCATTCCGGTGGTCCATAACCTTTCCCAGTCCTCAAACATGATGTTATACCCAATATCCTGAGCCCATTTTATCATGGCTGATTTGACTGTCTCATCCTGAGTGATTTTCTCTTCAACCTGCCCTCCATCCTCTTGCAGAAAACTCTTTGCCTGCCCTGCCCGTATCTCGTTTTTGCTTTTTAATTCCACACACGCACCCTTCGGACTTCGTGGCAATCGGGCGCGCGGGTGCGTTTCCTAAGAGAGTGAGGACCCCCGCCTCCTCCCCACCTGCTCCCTCGCCAGCCAGCCAGCCGCGCGCCCTAGCCGGAGAGCCCCGGCCGTCCCCGTCGCGCAATCGGCTGGATCTCCCTTCAGCAGGCCATGCTCACAACTCGGCCCAGGGACCCCCAGCAGCGGATCTCCGGCTCAGCTGAAGAATCCGGCAACAAGCCCCCTCCTCCCCAATCGCTCCGCCGAAATACGCTCCAAAACCCCCCAGATAGGCCACCGGCCGCCAAGTCTAGTGGTGCCCTGAGCGAGGGTCTCTCCCCAACACCGCCACCTCGAACTGCGTTCTCCCGGCTACCCGAGCGAACCAGCGGCAGGACCCCGGTATGGGCCCCCCCAATATTTTTTATAAGTCGGCGCCCCTGGATTGAATTATCCCTGTAAAGTATTCCTTTTCTTTTTGGGGACTCCTACATTAAACAGTTAATGCTCCAAACCACTATATTTTATTTTATTTTACATTCCATTGTGAAGCATTTTTACAGTCAACTTATGAAGTCCTGAAGTTGGGAAGTGTTAATAGAAGACAACTGTTAAACTATATGAAAGGCTACTGGGTACCACTCTAATGAAATTCATGTGTAAATGTGCTCAAGTCACCGATTTTGTGTAATATAGGAAACATATGTTTTCATTGACTAGTCCTGTAAAATACCAATGTTTTACAGTTAGCCAATATTATGAATTGGTTACATTCAAAGGAAACTGATGAGGTGCTAAAGAAGATTGGTTTGTAATTTGAGCATTGATGACAGGACACTTGATTCCCCCCCTGAGAGGATATGGTTAGCCTCTTGCTTCCGAGCTTGGGGCAAACATTTTCAATGTTAAACAAGAAGTGGAAAAAGAAAGAAGGAATGAAGTGGCTAGTGAAACAGCTCCAACTAAAACCTAAGAGGCAATTGCAAATCTTATTATTTTTTCTTTTCTCAGTTCCTCTCATCAGTTTTATAACAAAAATAAAACAAAGTCCAGGAGTAAGACCAAGAGGCAAATCCATCTTCATTACAGAAACTCAGGTATAATACAGTAAACCAGAATGGGTTGCTAGTCTTAACTTACTTTTTGGGGGGTTCATTATGGAAACAGCAATCATACACATGAAGAGAAAAAAATTACCTGGGGGCAAATTCTGATAGTTGAATGATGCTAAGTGGGGATGTCAATTATATACTCAAGTCATTTTAGGTCAAAAAAGCGTAAAAATAATGGAATAGGAAACACGCAAATGCAATACCTGGTATCCAGGTATGGATCTAACAGACTCTACAACTGCTAGAGAAACCAAATGCTGAATAAAAGGAATTCTTCGTCCCAGTTCAGAAGATAAAGGAATGGTGATATGTAGAGTTGATAAAGCAGCTCCCACAGGACTCAGCCAAGCATTCCCACCACGGCCTTAAAAAAAAGGGAAGAAGTATTTATGTGAAAGTTTTATTTTGTTATATAAAAAGAAAGCTTCACCAGTTCACTGAGAAAATCTAATGAAATATTTTGAAGGTGTTCTAATATACTGATGGTTTAAAGTTTTTACATTGTTTCTTTCTGTTTTTAATTCACAAGTAAAAAATCATATACATGTGATTTGCTTACACCATAAGTTGTAGCAATAAGAAATGTATGTATGTATGTCTACTGTTAATCTGATACAATATGTCTACTCTGGCCAAAAGAGAAGAGAAATGAAGATTAAAAACAGGAACAATCCAGTCAATGGATTAGATCCATGCTTAAATACATAATTATCAGAGGTTTTATAGGTTTTATATTTGTTCATATTAAATACCAGCTAGTTGTGTTTTTTTTAATGATACATTGAAAAGAACAACTTTATGGTATATATTTGTCATGCCAAAAAAGAATAGGGGAAAAAAAATGAATCAATGGGACTGAAAAAAGATATTCTACCTGAAATAAGTAACACCTCCCCCAGCAGCCAATAAGGAACACTGAAGTAAGCAGTGCAGGAGCTTTGCCCAACCACAACTTTCATGTACGAACTATTTGAGTGTAAAGGCCATTATTTAAGTCATGATCACTTCATGAAGAGTACTAACAGAAGACAAAGGGTCATAAATACCATGACACAGTTTGGAAAAGCCAGTTTGGAAAAGCACAGCCAAGGAGGGTAATTTGAATTAAAATTAAAGCCAGAGCTTGCTACTTGAGCACACTTTACAGTATTGGTTTGATGTTTGCTCTAGTGGCATATGACAACTCAATTTTTTTGTTTCACAGACTGATCAAAATCATTCCCCCCGAAACAAACGGAAGAACAGACAGTAATCAGATAGATTTGTTCTTCTACACGTTTTGGAGGTAATCCAATGCTTGTTTTAGGCATGGAAAAGTGCCACAAGCAAGATATACTGTCACTTTTTGCATACAGCTTGTAGTAGTTCTTTGTTACGGAACAGGGGTAGGTTGAGATTGCATTTGGCTTCCCTGAAAAGCATCTATGAAAACCCCAACTGGATGAAAATACAGAGTCAGAAAAGTGCTTACTAACAACTCAGGATGGTTTCACACACTCTTTCACGCAGCTATTTTAGCTATTTAAAATTGTAACCTTTAATGCAGATGGTTATTTACAATTCATGAACTTCTATTGCTGACATCAGAATTACACCAACATACCTTTCCCTTGAGTTTGTTGAACTGCAATCGCAATCAGACCTATTTCCTGTGGCACCTTGTACATCAACCTGCAAATTGTAAAAAGGAAAACTGTTAGAACAATTTGTGGCTTTCTTATAAACATTAGATTTATAATTTTTGTTACATTATCATTTCAGCTACAGGTCAAAAATGTTAAAACAATGGGAAAGGCAAAACATATAGAAAAATGAAAATATCAAATCTATAATGGCAGGATATATTTTAATCAAGTAGCTGCACTTCCTACATTTCTTTTTGAGGTGCTTATTCTCACCAAAGTGTTTCACTATCTTCCATATGTGACAACCAGCAATTTCTAACATTTGTTACTACTTATAGCAAATTCATGACTATACTCCTGAATACAGCAACAGCAGCAGTTTCTGATTATTTAGAAAACCAGTATGGTGGCAATAAAGCAGTTTAAGAGAGACACTATCCCTTGAGAACTAATTATGATTTAACTACAGTAAATAAATCTACACCTTCTGAGAACTCTAGAGAACACTAGCTTATTTTAGGCTTGTGCTCTGCTTTTAAAATTGTTTCACTTAAAAGAATACAGTTTTCCTACAGGGGATAAGTAGAAACTAAAGCATATTCAAACACCACCAAATGAGCCAATGTTGACTTGCATAAATCTTGCTATGAGAATATTGTTTAAGTTGCCTTGGTAATAAGTAGCACTAAATAGTGATATGGTTTTCTTTTCTTTGCAGGTTAGCAGAAAAAAGCATGCTATGACATATTGGTCAGGGCTTAAACTATTAAGACTTTGATAGACCCTTTTAATGTGGAGAATTTCCATTTAATATAATGCAGAGATAGGGACGCGGGTGGCGCTGTGGGTAAAAGCCTCAGCGCCTAGGGCTTGCCGATCGAAAGGTCGGCAGTTCGAATCCCCGCGGTGGGGTGCGCTCCCGCTGCTCGGTCCCAGCGCCTGCCAACCTAGCAGTTCGAAAGCACCCCCGGGTGCAAGTAGATAAATAGGGACCGCTTACTGGCGGGAAGGTAAACGGCGTTTCCGTGTGCTGCCCTGGTGCCGGCTCGCCAGAGCAGCTTTGTCACGCTGGCCACGTGACCCGGAAAGTGTCTCCGGACAGCGCTGGCCCTCGGCCTCTTAAGTGAGATGGGCGCACAACCCTAGAGTCTGTCAAGACTGGCCCGTACGGGCAGGGGTACCTTTATAATGCAGAGATACTGACAACCAAAGACTGTATTGGCACCCCCCAGCAAGATCTATGTCAGTGCCCCCCCCAAACACTTTACTGCAATATCTACATTAGAAATTACTACATTTTATGAATACTCAAGTGTCTGGAATGAGGATGAGGCAAGGAAAAAGGACAACAAAAATCAAACGCCTTTGTGCTGCAGTGCAAGAAAGATGGGACGCTTCCCCTGTGTTTGATCTCGCTGCAACAGTGGCGGCATATCACCACACACATACACATCATATATTCCATAGTCTGAGAGGTGAATTTTGCACCTCCCCAGAGCTGGCACCTCTGGCAGTGGTTGGTTTTGCCAGTCCCTAGGTTTGCCTCTGCTTATAACATATTGTAGAATTACTTTTTCTGAATTTTGGAAGATTCAAGGACTTAAAAACTCTGGGACTGAGCTAATGGCAGTCAGGAAAAACAGAATTGTAAGCACAAATACACCCTCTGCTCCTTACTGGGAAACAACATTGGTTAGTGCCAATGGTTCCTGAGGGCGTTTCCTAATTCACTCCTGCTGGGGTTTCAAGAATAACGTTTTATAAATAGGTTAGACAGAGGATGCATAAAGAACACAAAACATGATCCAAAATATTTCTGAACATCTTTTCACAATGGATCAGTTGTTCACCTAAAAGGCAAAAAAGTATTTGAACCACAGGAGTGGTAATGCAATGTTCTCCTCCCTTTAATGCAAATATCAGCAATCGTCGTTTTTTCTAAGCAATGGCCAGAGTATCTTTTTGCCAGTCCCACTTCCATTATATATTAAAAGTACAGCCTGATAATTGTTTCTCTTGGCCACCATGAATTGCTTATTGAGACTGTCTACCATCAACTGTTGCTGTTAAAACCGTATTTTACTTGTGCTGGGAGCTGGCAGAAAGAATCTAAGAGAGGTTCTTTGTAACCATTTAAGTTTAATATTGTCTTCTAGAAACTCTGCACGTAAGAGTCAAAAACTGCTTCAGCTTCAATACCACATTCATGTTACATAAAAGGAAATGTAACTTAAATCTGGAAATGGTGCTATGGACAGATTATAAATATAGCTGAAGCAACTGTCTAGGCTCCACAGAACAGGCAAGTCATACGTTACAAATCTGAGGGAGACAAATCAGGAGAGGGGGAAAAGTTAGTTATGACACCAAACACAGTGCTGTGGAACAATGATATGATTAAGGAAACCTACGCATGCAGTTGCTAAGTGGTTTGGCCAGAGTTACTAGAGCACACTAAGACAAGACTGGGCTCCTGTGCTACTGAAGGCAAAGTTTCTGTAAGGAGGTGAATTCTGTAAGAAGGGATACAACATAGAGAAGTTGCTAATACCTAGACTGAGACTACTGGAGACAGACAGATTTATTTATGCTATCTGAGATAACTCTAGGGGCATTACCACACAGTTCCAAGACCATAATAAAGTGCTTGTGATTTTTATAACCCCCCACCTTTTCAGAAAATACAAGTTTTAGGGTTTTGTAACAGAAAGAAGTGATTGTAAACAGTCTACATGCTAAACTACCTTAGTGTAGTCCTATATCTATGTGGGTACAGAAAGAAGAAAAATATGTAACTTTCTTGAGCTAACCTTCGACTGCAAGCTGTTGAGTCTGACAGGACTCTTATTCAGGAAGAAGTAAAAAGCAAAGAAGATATGGGGGGGATAATCTTTGGTACGTAAGATTTAACCACCTGATACTGCAATAATTTCATATGATAATGCATAATCACCTATTATTGTTCAAACTATAAACTACATATGTGCTGATGGTTCAATAAACAATAACAGTATTTATTATAAATACCTAAGAGCCTTACAGGAAAAAACCCATACCAACTATGTCCAGATATTCTATAAAGACATGTTACAGTAGGTAGTGACTTATTTTATATCAGCATATAATTCATTTGCTTATTTTCTTTAACTGTTATTTTCTGTTTTTTAATTATTTTTGTTGTAACTGTGTGTGTGTGTGTGTGTGTGAGATATCACACAAATAGAAGTAACATCCCTGGTCCTTGTTCCCCACTCCTGAATTAAAAATACAAGAGTTAACCAATAACATTTTGCCAAAGATTGTCATGTGTGTTGGCTGTTGTAAACCATGGTCATCCTTATTTACATAAGCAATAAATGCATACCAAATCTCAATAAAAGCATTATCATCATGTCCTGTACTTGTTTGGTAAGTTTCTCCATAAGAGCTATGGACCAGATTTATTGGTGCCAACAGTCTACCAACAAATTTTCCAAGCTCTTCCAGGTGTGTGCAAACCAGTTGCCTTGATGTCACTGGTATAAATGTAACAAGCTCTTTAGGTAGTAAGTTCTCTCTGTCAAAAATAATTAACAGAGCTAATTGTGGAACACAACTAACTGAATGTTGGGTGGGTAATTGTGCCAATCTCCTTAAAGACAGTCTTGCAAAAGATGTTTATACCTTCGCATAACGATCACATGTGGTAGAAACTTCTAATCCCAGGACTTTAGACTGTAGGGTGGGTAATAAAATATAAATAAATACTATCTTCTTGAAACTTGGAAGCTGCTACCACAGCACCTCTGGGGTGTCAGATAACATTTATATAAGATATTAGATGTTGTTTCTCTATTTTCCACTAATACTGATAATGGAGGTTTTTGGCCCACACATTACAACTGTTGGCCCGTTCCAATTCCTTCCCTAAGCTTGATTCCTATAAGCTTTTCAAAGATTTGAGATGGCAAGATTTGTAAATGATTGAAAGTACTCCTTTGGATGATACAGATATATTTATTATATTTTTTTTAAAAGGAATGAAGGGCCTGATTGCTTGCTGGTGAATCAATTTTTTCATGCTGAAATGGTCTTGGTGCCAGCTTATGCCAACTATTTCCAGCTTAGTATCTGAGCAGCTGTAAAATGCTGCTGGTTTTTGTAAATGTCACATGAATGATTCAGTCGTTCTTCATTCCACTTTTGAAATATGAAAGTCCTGTCCTGAAAGTCCTGGCGGTGGCGGCAGCCCCTAAGTTTGTAGTCCAAAATGTGTTCCAACTTTATTATTATTATGGGATGAAAACGTAATAGCACATATTTTATTGTGAACTTCCTGATTATACTCCGTCCTTAATCATGAACAATCCTTAGGGTCCTGTAGCGTAGTGAGAAGGATTCTAAAATGAACTGCCTCTTAGTACCATTTAACTTGAGGTAATCCTAGACCCTCTTTGTTTTGATTTTTAACAAATGGTTGCCAGGCCTAATCTAGGTCTCTTGCCCTGGTGTAGAACAGAGTCCCAGCATTTCTACCATTGCAACAGCATTTTTCAAGGAATTTTTATTGGGAGCACTTGGAATAAGAGAGTCAATTTGGGGAGTAGAATCATCTTGACAGCTGCTACCCTCCAAAGACATGATAAATTTGTTTTGGACAATCAAAGAAGGATTCTTTGACTTCTGCCAGAAGGGGGTGAAATTCAATTTCTTAAAGTTAGACCATTATCTTGGCACTTGTACCCTTAAGCATCTACATATGAAACATTGAAAAACTTCAAACATATTTAAGACCTTGTAAGGTGTTGTAGTCATAGTTGAGAGTCTGAGGGAATATTGAAGCATAGAAGTTGAGATTTTGAATTGTTTATTGTGAGCTTCACAATGTTTCATATATAGATATTTCCTGAAGGGCCACTGCAAGAGATCATTCAGGCTTGGCTACTATATGGACAATATTGTCCACAAACAGATTTGGGTAGCACGTTGGATCGGAAAGCTGAGTGAGGCCTGGCATTAACACAACGTATAGCCAAATGGCCTTCGCAAAGGTTATGAAGAGCCTTC